TAAACACGAACAAGTCCCCACAGAATGAGCTGTGTGATCATCTCAGTTTGGCAGCTGGCAAGGCAGAGGCAGAGGAGAAGCTGGTGAGCTCATTCTCTGACGAAGGTGGCTTTTCTCTGAATTACCTGGTGTTGTTTTCTTCTCAATTAGAAGTTCCCTCCCCCAGTAGCTGCACCCATCTATTGAAACATCACTGCCGAGGGACCCTCCAAATGCCCAAGATTGAAATTCTTATTCTAGACAGGGTACAACTTCAGGTCTTTATGAAATTCCTGCCTGCTTTGAAATACTCTTGCAAATAATAATATTTATAAAACACATTAAAAAGGCAGTTTGGGTAGAATTTTCTCCTTTTACGGACTGACTGATCTGAACTGTACAGCATCAAAAAAAAGATCTTAAAACTGGAAGAACTGAAATTGCAGTTTTAAAACACATACAGTGATCTTTGTTTTTCTGGCAGGAGCCCAGTGGCTATACAAAGGAGGCACATACCATTCATTATCTTCACCTTGTCTTTTGGAAAACCCCCCAAAAAATGGCATGCCACGTTGTTCAAGGCCACACAGAGCACATTCATGACATCCAGATATTAAATCCTGCTGCTTAAATTTTTAGTTCAATTTAAATAGTTCTTAAGCCTAATACAATCTCATTCGTTATAATTAATATAATTAGTCATATATAATTAATGTCTAATAAGCTGCTGCCGTTTGTGAATGCCAAATAAGCTAGTGTTGTCAACACAGCCTAAGTTCAAATTCATCAGTTTAGGAAAGCGCTAGCAACACCAAAGCCAATGCCAACAGCTTTATTTAAGTGAACACATTTCATCTAACCTTATCTATGGAGGGGAAAGTGAGAGATGCTGCACTCTCCAAGCATCGATTTTAAAACCAAGCTTATAAAATTAGCAGCAATCCATGTGCTCACCAGGAAATCACTAAAATAATCAATTGGCTTGGAACAGTCCAAGTCACTCCACAGCTCTCTCGTACATTGCAAGGAAGGGTGTTAGAGGAGTGTGTTTGCCTGCACCCTGCAGTTCACACTGCTTAGTTTGGCAAAGATTTCTTGTAACAAAAAAGAACCTTTACAGAAAATTCCTTTTATTTCCCGATGGGAACTTCTCAGTGCTAACAGCAGCAAATCATCACCTGGAGAGGCCGATGGCGATCATCTTACTGCAATTTGGGAATCTGTGGGGTGAATTGCTCTGTGTTTTTACAGCTTTCCATTATTCTGTAGGACAACAACCAGGCAGTGGGACATTGGCAGTACTTTTAATGACCATGGGAACATGGACCGAGATGGCCAGTATAGAAAACCATGATCAGGAGAGAGGTGGAGACTACTTTGTCCTATCACAAAACAAACATCACTCAGACGTTCCAGTTCAACAGCTTGTCTTCGTGCATTAAAACAAGCCTGGAAACCATGACTGATATCATTTAGAGTAATTAATTAGTTGCTTCTCAGTCTTTTAAACGAATGTGCTACAAAGCCCCCTGAGCTCCACCGAGATCAAAAGCCGGGTTGTGCACAAGGCTCACCCCCCCTTGTAGGCAGTCCTTTTGAAAGGAGGCGATTATGTGACAAATTATTCTTTGGGGGTACAACTGCTGGCTGTGCTGCATGGCTTTGGTGAGATCTGAGCCTTTTGCCCCTCATTAGTGATCCAGAGAAGTCACTGGTTTCGGTTCTCCCTGTCGAGCCCCGGGCAGATACTTGCAATATGGCAACAGGATTTGTTTCGTCTCTAGTCATACACAGTAAAATCAAACTGTCTAAACTGACCAACACTTTTCCCCTGTCATCTCACTGTCACATCCCAATTAAAGAGCTACAAAGCAGAAGAAAGATGCTTTGAGACTATTTATTATCACACGGAGACCCAAATGTGCCATGCATGCTGACACTACAAAGCATGTTTTTGGTACTATTTAAAAACACAACATTTTCAGTCAAAAACAACAATTACGTCCTTTTAACTCAGCTACCAGTCAGACTGGTAGAAGAAGAATCAGGGTGTGCACAACTGTGTATCTGATGTTAAGTAACAAATCCAAGTGATGTCTGGAATCCAGAAGGCATCCTAAAAAATCACTAACACAGTCTTGAATAAATTCATTTACTAAAGGAGCAAGCAACTGCATGTTACTACTTTCTCAGTAATTGTTTTGCACTTTCCTTACGTGTCTGCAGACAAAAGCATGTCACCTCTGAAATGCTCTCATTCTCTATGAGAAATGGGAGAACAGAGAAGTAGGACACACGTGCACTCAGCATCCCAAGTTTAGCCGCTCATCATGGTGTTTTCAGCCCCGTGGGCCTTTTCCTTGCTGCCATTCAAGGATATGAAATGGTGATTACAGAGTCAGAGTTTGATCTGCTTGGAGACAGACCTGGTTATTGTGCTGCCATGCTGAAATGAAAGGCTATGCTCCCTTTTGCTGCCAAAGAGGTTTATGATATTTTTATTACCCCGGAGTGCTGTTGTTTTTTTCTGTCTCACTTCAACAAGAGATTAAGTTGGGAGCATTTATAGGTCTGATATGCATTCTTCTCTCAGGTAGAATGTAAACACAAGAATGATGTTGTTTTGGCCAGGAAATGGAGCCAAACTTTTCTTGCTCTGTTGATGTTCATGATGAAAAAGTCATGTGAATGTATAAGTAAATTGTCCTTTCCATTAGCACAGCTCTACTCCATTAACACAGCTCTGCTCACCAACTGTTCATGCTTCTCAAGAAACAGGAGCATCTTAGAAATTGTATCTTAGGAAAACTGAGACTACACACTTATAACTCCTTTCTAAAACACTAATCACCTCCTACTGCAATAGGAACACAACTTGGTGCTTCAGAAGGCTGAAAGTATACACTGCTTTTCTTACCTAGTGAAGATATTCTCATGCAAGTGTAATACAAAAAAAAGAAGTGCATCTTCAATTGGTTCAGAGCAAACGAAGCTCACCTAAAAGCAGTTTTTTACTTTTTGTAGGTAACAACATGCATTGTGACACCATGCAAATGTGGACCTCTGTGCTGAGTAAAATCAACGTTCCATTGCTTTGCGTTTTCATCTTCTTCTGATAAATTCACATAGCAAGGTATGCTCCCAGTGATTATCTGTAATTCCACTGATAGATCAGTCATATATGAGAGAACAAAGCCCAGTACACTTCCCAAGAGCTGCAATATTCAGCAGCATACCACTCCCTTGTAATTATTCCAGCTTTAACAGTAAAAGCACTGATTATCAAGAACCGTGAGCACAATGCAGTTCATATTTTGAATGAAAAAAAGCCATAAAAGTATTAGCAATGCCCATTTGTCTTCTCTCTGATGTGACTTTGTATGCCAGTGATTAACTCACTTGTGCAATACAGACCCATCACTACAAAATAAACACATTACCACTCTAAGTAACAGATAAAAGTGAGACGCGCAGTACGTTAGCAGGATAATAATTATTCTGGTTTTGCTATCTGCAATAATTCTAAGCCAATTCCAAAACTGTACTGCTTTTATCTTTCATGTATGCTACCTTTTCTTATGTTATTGTACTCTAAAGATTCAGCATATATGCTACCGCTGTTTGGAGAGATGCCTAGGAAGGTATGATACATCAGTCAACTGATTTTTCTTCCACTCATCTGGTTGACACCTGCAGCTATTTGTGATGAGATTCTGCTTTCATTTACAATGGCAACAAATAGATTCTGTGGATAGGAATGAAGATATTTAATGTCTCTAGTCAAAGGGCAAAAAGATCATTTATTTGGGTTATGAAAGAGCGGGTCCAGAGGAGGGCCACTGAGATGATCAGAGGGCTGGAGCACCTCTCCCATGAAGAAAGGTTGAGGGAACTGGGCTTCTTGAGCTCAGAGAAGAGAAGGCTCCAGGGAGACCTCATTGTGGCCTTTTAGTACTTGAAGGGGGCATATAAACAGGAGAGGGAACGGCTGTTTACAAGGCTGGATAGTGATAGGACAAGGGGGAATGGTTTTAAACTGAGACAGGGGAGGTTGGATATTAGGAGGAAGTTTTTCACACAGAGGGTGGTGAAGCACTGGAACAGGTTGCCCAAGGAGGTTGTGGATGCCCCATCCCTGGAGGCATTCAAGGCCAGGCTGGATGTGGCTCTGGGCAGCCTGGTCTGCTGGTTGGCAACTCTGCACATAGCAGGAGGTTGGAACTGGATGATCATTGTGGTCCTTTTCAACCCAGGCCATTCTGTGATTCCATAAGTCACGTCATCACCCGTGTGCTTGACAACAGTGATTCACAGCATATAGAAACCAAGTAGCCATTTTCAGTGCAGGCGTATGTAGAAGATACAAAAAAATAAGCCTGTTAAAATAAGAAGGTCCAACTCTTTATAGAGCTGTCTTAAAAAAATAATAATAATAGAAGCTTAGGCATCATTTTTTTTTCATTAAATGATAAATAATAATCATCCACATAATAATAATCATTAGTAATTCAAACTAAGCCTGCGGTTTTAATGTCATTTTTGTTCTAAAAGCCTAGAGTGATTTATTTCGTAGCAATGCACACACAGTGACCGGGATGCTGGGTTGTGGTTTAGTGGGAAATATTGGTGACAGATGGCCGGTTGGACTGGATGATCTTGGAGGTCCGTTTCCAGCCTTGGTGATTCTATGACTGATCGTCTGCATTCTCGAGTCAGCCTCTAATAGCTCCGAAGAGCCATCTAGCGATGGGAGACCAAAAGAAAATCGCAAGCCCGCACCGATGGCAGCAGGCTGCCACCTGCTGATGCGCAAGAAGCACTTCACTGAGCACAACTGCCTTGCTAACAGCGACGGGACGAGAGGAACGGCCTCAGGCTGTGACATGGGAGGCTCAGGATGTGCATCAGGAAAAAAATTCTTCTCATAAAGAGCTGTGAGGCGCAGCAACGGCTTGCCCAGGGCACTGAGAAACGAGGACGCAGAGGCCAGAAGCGGCAGCCCCGCCTCCACCCCCGTGAGCTCCAACCCGCCCCTCTGAGCAGGCGGTGCCTGCGCATGCGCGCATGTGAGGAGCCCGTCCTGCTACAGTAGGTGCTGCGGGCCGGTGGGGGGGGTTCCGCGTTCGGCCCTGCTTGCGTCCCTGTTCCGTTCGCTGGGCTCTCGGCCTCAGCTCGGCTTCCGTGAGCCGCGCCTCCCCTGTGCTGAGGCCGCGTGCTGCCCAGCGTGTCCCTGTCCCTACACGTGCCTCACAGAGGGACGGCTGGCTTCGGCTCTGCGCTGCCGAAAGGCGTTCTGCTGTATGGTTTCTGGCCGGTCTGGGTTTGATCCTACAAAGCAGTGAAAAAGTACTTAATTAAAAAAAAAAAAAAAGAAAAAAAAACAAAGAAAAAAAAAAAAAACACCAAAACAACACCACGACCAAGTAGGCCTAGTGGATGTGGTGACTTGTTGCCAAAACGTGGTCTTTGTTGGTGTCTGCAGATGCTGCTGTGCGTTTTGGTGTATGGAGGAGTAGCTTAGTTTCACTGGAGAAGCCCTTCGAATCATAACTTGTCTGCTCTGCCAGATAGCCTGCCAGCATTGCTGCCATCGCTGTGCTTAAAGGTTAAGGTCCTCTGTAACCTTTTGGATTAAAAATTAGAGCTTTGTTATGTACACAAGCCTGCAAGGGAGAACTGAGAATTGATGCTTAAAAGGTGGAACATAAGGAAAGACACGGTACTCACTGCAGCATTTTACTATTGTTTCCAGCATAGGGATGAGACGGTTGTGCCTCTCTACTACTGAAAGGATAAACTCCGCACTGTGCCTGTGTCTGATAGCAACGTGAGCGTTTAATCCAGATCTGCGACTTAAGAAGAGAGCTCGGTACGTTGCCTTGTGCTTTCCTGTCACCTCTGTGCTGCTGAGGCCAACGTCAGTTGGCCCTTGTCTCTGCTTGCCTCGTCTGGTGAGTCTGGAACCTGATGATTTGGTAACTTCTCTGCCTAGCAGCTGTATGCAGTTTGAGTCTCTGTACCCTAGATTTTGCAACTCGTAAGTTGAATGACTGCTTTTCTCCAAAAGGAATCCGCCATGGCCGAAGACTCTCAAAGAAACTTCCGCTCCGTCTATTATGAAAAAGTGGGGTTTCGTGGAGTTGAAGAAAAGAAGTCACTGGAAATTTTGTTAAAAGATGACCGATTGGGCAAGTTGATGTCAATGTTTCCTCTATTGCTTTGGTGATTTGGCATGTGGATGGGGAGGGAGTCATGCATGGTGTATTGCTGCTGTGCTTAGAGCACATTAAAGTTTTACATCCTTTACCAAGGATTCTTCTTTTCTATCCTTTTCCATCTTTCCTATTTCATCTCTCAGTACAAGCAGTCCCTTGAGTTTCAAGGGTTTGAGAACCCGATTTTTAAAAAGTATCAAACATCTGCATGTTTGGCATTGTTGTTTTTTTCTATTCTGTCATTCTCTATGGTCAGTAAGCTTAATTTTTTTTTTTTTTTTTAATGAAAACAGTTTCCATCTGAAAATATGTTGTCTCCTGCTGTTAATTCCATCTAACCTTGTAACAGTGATGGTTTTGTTATTGATGCTTGTCTTTTATTAATGCCATATCTTTAATAGGATGGAAAGATAGGTGTCCCTAATTGCTTTGAGATAGCAACACAGTTTACAAAATGATTATAAAAATGGTAGTTTCTTCCTGGTGAGACATAGGGTAGCTTTAGTTGTATTGCAAATCAAGTCAATGCAGGTTTCCCAAAGAGGCTGTGGATGCCCCATCCCTGGAGGCATTCAAGGCCAGGCTGGATGTGGCTCTGGGCAGCCTGGTCTTCTGGTTGGTGACCCTGCACATAGTGGAGGGGTTGAAGCTAGATGATCTTTGTGGTCCTTTTCAACCCAGGCCATTCTATGATTCTATGATTTTTTTTCAGAGGAAATGGTGTTGCAGTTTATTAGACACATTCTATTCTCAACTGAACAAGTGAAAGCATTTGTTAATAATATGCCATGTAAACATGGATTTTGATCCTAGTATTTGTCATATTTAGGTAAGCAGAGACTCAAAACTGTTATTCTATTAAAACTTATCTTAAATTTTTATTTCTCTACAGATATTGAGAAGCTTTGCACCTTCAGTCAGAGGTTCCCTCTCCCATCCATGTATCGTATACTGGTGTGGAAGGTTCTTTTAGGTATGAAACAATATCTGAATAAAACAGTGATTAAGTTTAAAAATCTTGGCAAGCTATGCAAATGTATGTTTATGTTTTGGAGAAGTTGTGTTCTGTAAGATCTTGGTTTGAAGATTACTTCTGTTTTTTGTTTCTGGCTTTAAATGATATTTGCTGTTTAAGAAGATGTGAGGCTGGAGAAAGTATATAGCCCAGAAACCATGAAAAACAAAACACGAAGCATGCAGAGATTCTATTCTCCTTGGAGTTTGATAATCATGTGATCAATTGAAAGGCACTAATGACTTTTCACTAAGTGGTCAAGTGTGTTGGATTTACTGGATTTGGGACCATGACACTTGGAGATGGGGCAGAATGTGGAGGGTCCTGGAGTTCTGACTCACAAGAGGTATCAGGAGAGGTTCTCTTAGAGGGCTGAATGTAAGAAACACTGCCAAATTGAGTGTGAAACAGGGTGCATGACTGAATCTTTGGAAGAGAAAGGTGATCTACTGCACTATTGATGGTTGAGCGTCACGCCACTGTTGAAAAGCTTGAGTATGTCTTCTTCTTGTTCTTGGTGTCCACATGCCACTACACGTGGAGCTGGAAATAATGTATGAGAAAGCCTTATCTGAATTTTAAACAATCTTTTAGAATGGTTTTCTCCTCTGCCCTCTCCAATTTCCTGCAATTTAAGAATCATGCCTTCATATTAATGGTTCACTTCGTACACCTCGATGTTGTCCCAGGTGAAGTGGTATGTCAGAGATGTCTCTGACCTCTCGTTCACGTGTGACTCAGGATGGTGTTGAGGCTGAAATAGTTTCTAGACATGCCAGTGTTGAGATTCTTTTGTTTGCCAATAGGAGTCTTCTCTGTTTAAGAAAAGGAGTTGGCAGTGTGTAACATAACACAGATGTTAACTGCTTTTGGATCACATAAAAATGTCTTGCTCCATCCCAGCTTTTGCAGTGCAAATAACTTTGCAGTTAGGAAATAAAAGATAAGTTACTGTCTGTTGTGCTTGATACTCGACCTCAAGCATGTCATGGTTTAACACTTTGACAGCAATTCACCCCCCCTTCCCTTTAAATGAAATATGAAAGCAGCGGGTAGCCTGCTTTAAGACTGGGTTTTGAAGAATGTCTTGTTCTCATGGGTTTCTACAACAGGAAGAATTCTGCTCCATTGGTGATATGAAAATGGTGTTTCTTCATTTTGATGTTTCTAAGATCTTCTTTCTACTGTAGCCGGTGACAGCTTTGTTGTGAGCACTGCAAGATTCAGCTTTGAGTTAGAATCATAGAATCACAGAATGGCCTGGGTTGAGAAGGACCACAATGATCATCCAGTTTCAAACCTCCTGCTTTGTGCAGGGTTACCAACCACCAGATCAGACTGCCCAGGGCCACATTCAGCCTGGCCTTGAATGCCTCCAGGGATAGAGAAGGAAACAAAGAAATGCTGAGCATTTCTTCTGGATGTCAGAAACAATTTTGTTTTCTCTGCCTCTCCACTTGGATGTACGCGTATCTGTTTTCTCTGTCGAGAAAGCCAAAAGCCCTGCATCAAAAGGTGCTTGGATGGTATTCTTAAATTCTGATCTGCAGTTGGTTCAACCACGTGGTTGATTTTGCTTCTAGGTGTGATTTTAGAGAGGATTAATTTCTATAATACGGTGTGCAAAGGTGTTTCCAGCAGAGATCTAACATTAAACTAAGTAATAAAACTGTTATGTATAGCATCTTTGCATTAGTTAATTGTATGTATATTCTCTGTCAGGTCCTACATTTCTGTAGGCTGGAGTGTTAGTAGGAATTGAAGTTAGGCTCCTGGAAAGAGAGTTTTGACGTTTTTTTCTTTATGGATGCTTTTCTTTCTTCTTTATTATTATTATTATTATTATTATTTTTAGGAATTATTCCTCCTCACCATAAATCTCATGCTCTGGTGATGAACTACCGGAAGGAGCAGTACTGGGATATCCACCATGCTCTTCATGTAATTCGTTTTATCAATGACTCTACCCCACAGGTAGATGTTTTCCTCCGCATACATCAACTGGAATCAGGCAAATTGCCTCGAAACTTGGCTTATCCTTTGGTAAGTTTCCATGCTAATAGTATTTAAGTCATAGAATCATAAAATCACAAGGCTGGAAAGGATCTAGAAAATCACCTAGTCCAACCGTTCTCCTATCATCATTACTTCCCTCTGAGCTACTAAAACATATCTTGCAGCACCTCATTTAAATAATTTAAAAATTTTAGAGTAATTTGCTTTTAAATCCAGATATTAATATTCTGCCTTCCTTTTTCTGTTAGTCTGAACTGATCTGGGTCTGTCATGTACTCTCATGTACTCTCTGGTTTACAGTATGCCCGCTCGTGGGTAAACAGGTTTGTATTTTGTGTCTGTAGTGTGATGACAAGTGTGTGGGCTTCATATATAAGCCTCTGTAAAAGGAGAGGTGATGAAAGGAACCATGAACTTTCTGAAGGAGACATTGCCTTATTTTTATGCTCACTCAAGCCCAGCTTTATTACTCTTTATAGAATAGAGTGTATCTGTAGAATAGTTAGCTCAGCTCTATCCTGTGTGCAGTCACACCTGGAACTGTGTTTTAGGCATCCTCATAGTTCTTGTACCGAGGATCTTTTCTTCTGGAGAAAATGAAATAGTGTGCCCATCTGTATGGGAACTGCTGAGTCACGGCCTGAACCTCTGATTGATCACCTGAGGTGAGCCTTGAGTCAGCCAGAGGAGCACAGGTGAAGGCAATTCAGCTGTGCTGCCGGAAGGGGGGGAGCCAGGCTGCAGCCCTCCTGGACCTATTTAAGAGCTGGCTACCAGAGGGGAAGGATCTCTTCTGGAGATCACCTCTCTTGGTGTTTTGTGGTGAGCTCAGCTGAAGGGTAAGCTCTTCCACTTATTCTCTTTTGTGATTGTTGTTTACTTTGCCTAATTCTCTTGATTATATTGAGATTATAACATCTTGATTATACACCATCACACACTTCTAGATTTGTATTGTGGGGAATAACTGACTCATCATCTGGAGAAGTTGCTTATTTGTCTCTGGGAAGGTGTTTTATCTCAAATCAAATAAATAAGATGAAGGCAGCTCATGGCTGCCTTCTTTTCTTCTGTAATTAATATCAATGACAATGGTGTTTGAGGGGCCTGTTTGGCAAGGGAAAGGAAAAAAATTCTGCTGGTTTAAAATGTGGGTTATAGAAATAGGAATATTGCAGTGCTATCAGGAGATGAATTCTCATTTGAGAATATTTGGGAACTTTGAATCGCAGTTGATCCAAACTCCTGTTGAATGATTTGTTTTAAAAACAAGACAAATCTTATTTGTTCTTCTTTATTAGATATCTGTCACTATAATGCAGCTGTTTCCCAGTGCTTTATTTATAAATATGTCAGGGACAGCTGGCATCTCTCTTTATATACTTAGATTCCATTCTCTTTTTGCCAAGAGCAGGGAAAAGGAATGTACAGATAATGTGAGTTGTACAGTCTAATTCTACTGTGTGTTTAGTTAGTTTTTCACTTTGTTTTCCAGGAACCAGAAGATGAAGTGTTTCTTGCAATTGCTAAGGCAATGGAGGAAATGGTGGAGGATCCTATAGAATGCTATTGGCTTGTCAGTTGCTTTGTGAATCAGCTTAACAGCAAGCACAAAGATTCATTACAACAACTAGTAAGGATAAAATACTTTTGTGTGTGTGTGTTAGAGAAAGAGAGAGAGGAAGAAGAAAACTGTAAGAGGGAAAGAAGTAAACAAGTCCTGGGAAGCATGCCTTCTGAGCATTCTGGTAGGCACAATGAATAGAGACAGCTGGAGTGTCAGGCCAGTACCTGTGGATTCTGTTCTGGCAGCAGTTCCAAGTGGAAGGAGCAGAGCTTTTGGAATCGTGGCTGTGTTATCTGATAGGTCACTTTGCCTAAAGTAACGTTAGAAAAAAATTGGTTTTGTTTGCTACATTGTAGTTCTCAATTACTTTTTTTTTTTTTAAGCTTACATTTAAGCTTACATTGCATTTAGATGAGTTATTTCGCAGTCACTTTGGAGTTTTGTTTAAAACAAAGATGTAAGAAGCTTAAGAACATTTAGATTCATGTCTGCTGCTTTTCTGGCTCGTCCTTCAGAGTCCAATACTGCTCACCCAGTACTGGGTGATAATGAGGCAAAGCACAACATTTTCTAGAAGCTACGTGCCTCAATTACATAAGGAGTATCCCTAAGTTGTCATTGTAATATACACATTGTACCAAGGCTGATGGATAAAGGAAGTGTTTTTGTCTTTGACAACTATATTAACTACTTATCTTACTATGACAAAAAGTCTAAAGACACTCCAGGATTTATGAAAACATGCATTGTCTTACATTAGAGCTTGAGCAAAATGATAACCTTTCACATTTTTAAGCCTATTTGTGTGTTTGTCTGTTGCCCTTTTATATACATGTTATGCTTTTAAACAAGAAATAGATGCCCAGATTTTCATTTATTGCACAGAGATTTAGTCTGAGAATTGATTTTCTTGGCTTTGGTGCACTGTGTGTAGGTTGTTAGGCTGTGTGCTAAGGCATTGAGCTTCAAGGTGGATGAAACTCAGTGTTACTTGTGAGGACAACAGTAATTAGTGCAGCGTGAATCTCTGCATTGCCTTAAGCTCTCCAACACCTGCATTAGGGAAGAGTGCATGTATGTTTTTGAAGTCCTGCTGGTGGTCAGCAATTTAAGGAACCTAACTTTTGCCCTTCCTTTCTCAGCCAAAAATTCTGGAGCAGTATTTAAACATTGAAGACAGTAGGCTTCTGATGCATCTGAAGGCATGTGCTGCGATGAGCAAGCTCCCTTATGATCTCTGGTTTAAGAAGTGTTTTGCAGGCTGTTTACCTGAGTCCAGTTTACAGAGGCAAGATTTTTTTTTTCCTTTCTATTTGTAATTCCACAGTAATTTTAAATTGCTGTTACCACATGCATTTTACCTGTTGTGTAGTTATGGAGTTAGCTTCATTGCTGACTTGAAAATGACACAATTTTGCTTTGTTCTACTTGTTACTGATACAAGACAAGCTGTTTGTGGTCTCTTCTAGCAAGGAAGCTTAATGTAGCAATTTATTCCCTAAGGCACTTGTCACCTCCTAGGATTTAGAACTTCTAATCCCCTATTAGTGATAGATAGCTGAAAGGAGTCAGTTCTCAGGCTTTTAAACTGAAATCCTTGCTTAGGGAGCAATGGTAATACTGTATCATTATCAGATGAAATAGATTTGGGTAATGTTTATTTGAACAAAACAATATTAGGGCATCACTATGTTAGTGAAGTCCTTATTCTGCAGTTTGCAGTTTCAGCATTGCCCTGTGTGTGGCGTGCTTGTTGTTATATGGCAGGTTCTGCCCACCAAGCACCTGTAAGCAGTCTGTTCTGTGTTGTGGCTCTATAACACGGAAGTTAAAAGCTTTTACTCTTGTTTTAGCTACAGAATCAGAGCATTGGAACTTCTGGTGGCACAACAGTTCTATTTACCAACAATTTGTATGACAACATGATAGATGTGCACTTTGCCTTTGCCAGTTTAGGTTTCTACATTATTCAGTTGTAATCAAAATGGCCATATTTGCTAAGGAAATAACATACTTTGTGGGCAGCGTGTGACAGATGAACTTAATTAATGCTTGGAGATTCAGTTTGGATTAGAATCTGAAAGCCCGAATGCTTATCTGAAATGCATCCAAATGGCAGTATGAGAACTGCTGAGAACTGCAAGCAGCTCCCCGGTTCTCCTGTGAGTTTTACTTAATTTTTCAAGTGACAGCTGATTTGAGCGTGGTGTTTTATGATTTAATTTAACTTCTGATTTAGTACTGTATTTCTTAGAGAGGTTGCTTGCTTTGTCTAAGTTGTAGCCCTCTCTGCCAGGCAGCAAAACTGAAATTTCATCTTTTTTTTTCCTAAGATGCACAAGATTTGTGTACACTGTACAGAAATTTTATCCAGTAATGGTGAGATGAAGTGTACATAAGGCCAGCTGTGTTCCTGACAGGGGTTGTCATTTGGTGTACATACTCTTACAGTGCACTCCTATGCTTAACCATAGCTAGAAATTGCACATCAATTTATTTTAAGTGGATTTGGAAAACTAATGTAGAGAGCTTTCATGTAGAAACTTCCTTTGAGCTTATGCAGTGTTTTTGCTCTGCTTGCCCTGATGAAACTGACAAAAATGTGACTTGAAAGGTTTGAAAAGTAGACACTGTATGACAGCAGCAAACATTCCATATTATGAATTAAGAAAGACTTTGCTTAAAGGGGTGATGGGAACTCTCATCTGGCCTTTGAAGCTCATTCTGCCTGCATTGTGTTCTCATGGCATTCCAGGCTGAAGTGCAAGTTCTTCCAAGAGAAGAGGTCATGCCAAAATTGAATTGTCTTTTGAAGAAACACACCTGCAGATCCGAGTCTATAGGTGGGCTGTAGGAGATGTTTTCCAGTTACTGTATTCAGAGATTATAGAGAATGGTGTGTGATCTCTGTCTCCCGTGGTTTTATTTGAAAGGAGAAACACTTTTCACAAGTACCTGGATGGATTAAAGAAAAGTAATCCTCAGAAGGTCTTTCTGACACAGCTCTTCAATGTGAAGAACTGAAAATAATGCAGGAACATTAAAGCTGCCATCTGACAGATGGTCTCACACCGGTTTTGGATAATCTTTCATCCCGTGTCTGTAGAGTTGGGCCTGAAATAGAGCTGCTGGATGAAGGGTTTCAAATTGTTGCAGGCTGTTTTAGTACTGTGAATCTCTCCCAGTAGTTGTAGAGGTTCTGTTGCTAAAGAATATGCATTCTGTGAAGGCCTGGTCTTCTGGTTTCCTTGAAACTGTGAGGTCCAGGTCTGGCTCTTACAGGTGGTAGGAGTGCTTTGTAGTTCTGAGAGAGTCTGTGCACAGTAGAATGAGTTGCAACACTTAAATTTGGTACAAGGAACAACTATTAAACATTATGGCCTGGATCTTGCTGATAATTATATCTTCTAGAGAAATGACTTGGAATATTTTGCTGCTTGAGATGTAGTGATTGAGGATTTCATTCTTCTGAGTGTTCATTTACCTGACTATTTGAAGAATCTCATTATTGAGCATGCTAGCAAATTGTTTCCTTTTTTTGCACTAGGAAAAATTCTCACCCTCACCACACCATATGGAATAGTTGTCACAGTTCAGGCTGTTAAAACATGATTTGCTTTTTGCACTTGAGCTTGTAAGCAGTTCCACTTCTAAACAAGGACATGCCATATTAATACAGTTGCTTGCCATCACTCAGTACAGATTGAGGAACTGATAAAATATCTTTCATTGACTGTGACCTGAATAATTCAATATACTTACTGCTAGTCAGGAAAACAGTCTGAAAAAGGTAATTGTACAAACACTGTTCTAGCAGATATACAAGCAGATAAAGACTACAGTAATGCTTAGTGATTCCTTTATCATTTCTTTTTGCAGGGTTTGGGACAAAGTTATTAGTGGATCCTGCAAAATTCTCGTGTTTGTTGCTTTGGAGATATTGTTAACCTTTAAAATGAAGATAATCGCGCTGACCACTGCAGAAAAGATCACCCAGTTTTTGGAAAATGTAAGTGAAATGTAACATTACACTCTGTGCTGTGCAATTACCTCGCATGGCCCATAAAAATGTCTTTTGGCCTCGGTCATTTGTTGTTTTAAACATACCAGAAGAAGGGATGAGAGGAATAGTTTCTGTCAGGAGGTGAGGCTTCCATAGAATGAAGGCTCTGGGTAATATGTTATTTATGTTTGTGCAGATTTGACACCATTCCTTCTGATAATAACGTGTTGTTTTTTTTTTTTTCTTGTGAAAATAAGCATGGATGAAGTTGGATTAATTTTTCCAGAACCTCTTACCAGGGCTGGTGTCTTGCACCCCTTCTGTTCCTTTTCTGGGCATGAACCTGTAGGCTCAGCGCATGCTTTTTGTTGTTTTGGTCTTGGGATCTTAAACCTAGCCCTGATCTTTCCCTTTGTGGAAAGACGTGAGTGTGACAGCAGGGTTGTAGGAGCCTCACGTGACCTAGGGTAGCTGGATTGGATGTGTTTATGGTCGTGGATGGGACAGTGTAAGTCCTGTCTGATGACAGATGAGGGGTGTAAAGTAAGAGAACCTTGGGTTCTCCTGTTTTGTGTCTAAAGCTTGGGGGTGCTTGTAGGATGTGAGGGATGCTAGGGCAGGGAGGTGGGGCTGTAGTTTCTCTTTGTATAAAGAGATGAAACTTGAATTGGAGCTTCAAAATCTGTATTTAAAATGAAACAGTCCACATAAAATGCATTGACAAGGCATCTTAACTCAATCTTTTGTAGATTCCTCAAGATAACACTGATGCTATTGTCAGCAAAGCTGTAGATCTGTGGCGCACACACTGTGGGACTCCAGCACACTCTGTCTGACAACTTTCCCCACTTACAACAGCTTGGAAAAAAAAAGCATTTAAAAAGTTTCCTCTTGCTGTTCTTCCCTCTTTGTGGTGTAATGTTCTTCCTTTCCTCTCCAATTCGAAGATGCTATTAAAGCATTTCACGGCATAGCGCTCAATGTTTTTCAATAAATATGAATGGAGTGAAAATACTGAGTGGTGATATGATGATGCCTAGGGCATTTTAATCCAGCCAGCTACACTATTGTGATTGCACAGTGTGTTCTATGGCTTTTTGAGAAGTAAATCTAACTCCTGGAGCAAGGTAAGTAGGCTGACTTGTAGAAAATACTTCTGTATGCCAGCTTATACTTGATAGAACTAGTTACTACTTGGAGGGGCTTTTAAGGTGAATGCGTAGTATCTCTTATTTTGCTGGAACTCAGTGGTGAACAAAGCACGTTCCTTTGCTGGAAATTTAAAAGTACTCTATCAAAACCATAGATTTTCAGGTAAATGCAAAAGAGGCATCACGAATTTGAGACACAGAAAGACATCACAGTGAGCAGGTGAGTCGTATTTTTCTGAAATATCTTAGAAGTGCTTTCTTCCTGTCTGCCAGTGAACTGTTATGGCTGTATTTTGTTTGTGCTCAGTGGTTTGGCCAAATTAAATTTTACTGTGCAAATAATGAAGAGCTTTTCTTTCTCTTAAGTTTGTAGTCAGTACTGCAATCTTAACAATCTTAAATCTTGACAAAGGAGGAGGCATCTTTGGAGTGTCTGGATATTTGGATAGTAGATGTACTGAAGAATTATTATTTGAAAAGAAAACACTGCTATGTGTAAAGCAGGAGCTTTGGCCACCTGCTGGTTTCCTCATTTTATAATGGCAAAATAATGTGGCCAGCAAGTCCTCATTTCATTTAGGTTTATGATTTGAAATGTTTCTAAGGGAGGTTGTGTCTGGGACGGGACCTGTCCTGTTCAGCTTCTTTATCATTGATGTAGGACAAGAGATGGAGTGCTTATTCCATTTAACATCTGCAGGTGAAACCAGACTGAGCATTGATTATCAGGTGATACAGCAGTGGCAGGACTGTAGGTGTAAGCTGAAATGAGGGCTTTCAGGCTATAGGGAAAAATTTTTCCCCCATGAGGACAGTCAAGCAGTAGATACAGCTCATAGAAATTGTACAGTTTCCACTGTACTTGGAGATTTCCAAGTTCCAACTGGTCATGTTCCTGAGCAGTCTGGTCTTACCCCTTAGCAGGCCTTGCTTTGAGCAGCAGGTTAGATGAGAGACACACAGAGTCCTTTCCAGCCTGATGTACCTTGTGATCTGTCCTATACTGAAGTGTAACTTTAGGTAAGTATGGAAGAAATCAGTGAAAGGAGTAATTACAATTCAGAATTACAGGCAAGTAATAAAATATACCACTGGGCATGACTCAGGGACTACATAGATATTTCATATTTACTGCATTTATTTGTTGTGGCTTGAATTTCTTGTTGTTTTATGCTTGTTTGGTTTAGTTTTCAGAATAAGTTAGATGCAGAAATGTAATTTATGATGCAAGTAAAAGCAGAGAGTGATTGGCCACACGTGCAGGTTGCTGGAGAACTAATCCTGTAGAAGTGTAAAATTACATTTCCACACCTCATACAGACCACAGAATCATGTAGATTAGAATTAAGTATTCTATGAGATTAAGTATTCAATGTAGATTAAGAATACCTTACTTAGTTATTTGACTCAGAGGTGCTTCTATGCCAAGTACATTTGCTGCTCCTCAAAGAGTGTATTTAGTTTGTACTCAGGGCAGACTTCAGATGCTTTAGACATTTAAATTTGTTTCAAACTAGGTCAGGTTTACCTTCCAGCAGGTTAGCTGGGGAAGTGTGGAGCTCAGCTCAGGTTATAGGAAAGAATCCGGTGAGATGATCTGTGTGAGATTTTGAATGCTGCCCTTAGTGCTCCTGAAATGCCTGAGTCTGCCCCATTCAGAAAAAGCTTGTTTGTGTCTGCTTTGATAGCACTGCTGTGTCTGCATTGTAGTGTAGTGTAATCCATTCAGCTCACTTCAAAAAGGAGCTTGTTTTTCTAGAGTAGGTGTGAAAGCTGAGTAATGTGGTTAAGAAAGAGTGTATATGTTCTGTGAATAACAGCACTTCTTTCTGTACCATTCAGTGCACAAGTTTTTCAAATAAGCAGCGGTGCTGCAGTCAGAGAGTGCTTATTTGAACATTTTTCCCTTAGGATGCACAGCTTACCCAAAGTAAGTTATGTGTGCATTATTCCAGCCTTTACAGTGCAGATTACTAAAAAAAAAACCACTCACACAAAAAACAAAAGCCAAGCACTGATGATGCGGAAGGTGTTCAGCAGTTTCAGTGCTGAAAGGGAATCAATAACTCATATTCTGTGAAGAGAGAAGCCCTGAATCAAGATTAAAAGTGCCACTCAGTGTTACTGCTTTCAGATTAGTCAGAACGTATTCCTCCAATCACCGTTGGACTGAAAGCTGAAAGTTTATTTTTAAACTTTCTGCTTTTAATTTGGAGAATCCTTCTCAATCAGTGAGTAACCCTGGAGCTGCTCTGACAGGCACAGAATTGGCACAGCATCACAGACTGGCTGAGGTTGGACAGGACTGCAGCAGGTCGTGATTTAGCGGAGGGTTGTTACAGTTAGGGTAGGTTGTGGTTGGACTTGTTGATCTTTAAGATCTTTTCCAACCTGAGCAAATCTATGATTCTATGCAAAGAAATAGCAGGATTATTTCTATAACCAGATACATTATTTATTCTGGACTGTGCTGAAGAAAGGAAGCTCTCCAGAGAATGAATAATGGCTCATCTCCATGCTGCTTTCACTGATCTTAGTAGATGTTTGTGTGTATCTTAATCTGCAGCTTTTACTTTGGATTTATGAGGCATATGGTTTATCCACAAAAAAAAAAAACAAAACACCAAACCTTCCTGACTTCTTAAAAGGTTGAAAGTTTGAATGTGGCTTACTAATTTGTTTATAGTAACATCTGCTCAGTTGAATGTAATACTTTAGTTCTGAAGCCTGCTTTCTAAGAGAATGGGAGAAATGTGAGTTGTCACTGCTCCCATCGTAATGAGCAGATTTGAGTTCAAAGCAAGGGTCTTTATAGTCCCAGCTTAGAACAGAGTCTGCCTTTGGCAAGTGGGGAACAGTTTCTCTCACAGGGAGGTGAGGCACTGGCACAGGCTGCCCAGAGAAGCTGTTGGGTGCCCAATTCCTGGATGGTGACCACGTTGGATAAAGGTTAGTCTAGTGGGAGGTGTCCTTGCCCGCTGCAGAGGGCTTGGAACTAAACAGTCTTTAAGGTCCCTTCCAACCAAACCATTCTGTCATTCTATGATATGCTGCTAACATTTGCTCTTTGTCCTTTTGCACTAAAGCACTGCTATAAATGCAGTTTCTAGATGTACGTTTTTAGTGGACAATCCCAATTTGGTCACTTAGCTACTACAGATTATTATTGTTAGTTTCCTTTCAGTTTCACATAGTTGTGCGCCCTACTGAAATCCCTAGCTAAGTAATTCAAGGAAAATGGTTAGCTTTCAAATTTGTTTTCACCCAGTGTCTTTACAGGATTGTGCTGATGAGTCATCTGACAGTCATTTTTCTTCTTTCCTGAGAACTTTGAAACTTATTTTTTTTCTTTATTTATGTTGTTTCTGCTTGACTGACTGAGCATGCAACTGCTTACTGCCCACCTGTTTCTCCATACAGAACTAGCAGCTTAGTTGTATTTTTTTTTCTTTTTCTTTCCCCAGAGACAATAGAAACAACACTGTTTTGGAGAGTGAAAGCCCCTCCCTCTTCTTCCCATGCCAAATATCTTTGTGGACTTTGCTTTGGTCCAGTTCTCCCCTCAAGCAGTGCCTTCCCTCCAGAGAGGTTGAGAGGAATGCCACATCTGTGCTCACCCATGTTGCATGCACCAGTTCTTGTTCAGTTACAGTCCAAATAACTGATGGGAATTCCAGATAAGAAAAGTAATGGCAGATGTCAGAGGATGGTGCTTTAAAAATGATCACAGAATGGTTTGGGTTGGAAGGGACCTGGAAGATCGTCTGGTTCCAACCCCCTGCTATATAGGCAGGGACACCTCCCACTGGACCAGGTTGCTCACAGCCCCATCCAGCCCAGCCTTGAATGCTTCCAGGGAAGAAACATCCACGTTGTGTCTGGGCAACCAGTTCCAGTGTCTCACCACCCTCACAGTAAAGAATTCATTTCTAATATGTACTTGAAATGATGAGTAATTTGAACTCCAGTGAAGGGCTTGAAAACATGAAAAGAAATGGAGGAGAGTGTGGAGTTAAGTGTCTGAGATAATAACTCAGAGGTTGGTGAAGTAACAGTGATACCTCAGGCGTCTGTGGGTAGGAGATCAGCTGGTAAAAACTGGGTTCGTGTTGCATGAGGGATGCTTTCACAATGTAGTTACCTTTACAAGACAGTTACTCAGGCCTGAGTGTCCTAGTGGTTCTTAAGTTTGTTGTTATGGCTGGAAATCCCTGTGCTGAAGAAGAGCCCTACTGCTCTGTGTGCTATCCTGCCTCACCTTGCACTGGACAGGACAAGTTGGTATCCAATAATGGATTTCACAAAAGCCAGTCCAAAACTCTGTATTTTCCGAGCTGAGCAGCGCAGTGGAATGCTCTCTGTTAGGCTTTTGGTACAAGAGAGTATGGGGGAATGGAGTTGCTTCTCTTTCATATGCTAATCGTTAATCCAGGTTATTGCTGGAGACCGCTGGGAAAGGAATCTGCCTGGGTAGGTGTCCTGTCCAGTGCTGTCTACTGCCTCTACTGCAGTAGTCCGCATTAGGAGAGGTGGAAATGCTCCTCACCTGGGGCTGCAAAAACAGCAGATTAACTGTGTGTGTTTGGAGCTAGCTTCTAGCTGCCACCAGGCAGGTTTGATGAATCCACTTGATGAATCTCCTTGATGAAACTTGGACACTCATCAAATAGAAGCAATTATTGTATTTCATGTCACTGTAACAATAGATATCAGAAGAGAGACTGCAAGCTGCACCTTGCTGTTGGGTGTTTCTGTGGGCCTACCATCAGAGGGCACATCTCTCAAAGTGGTTTGAAGCAGCTGATAAAGGTGAGCTGGATCCTGGAGGCTGTGTCTGATGGAGAGAGCTGACTTTTTTTCAACCCTTCTCTCGGTTTCCTGCCTGCAGGTGGCATTAGATAACAATTTGATTGCAGGTAATGAGAGGACTTCACTGAATACACGTCTCTCTTTCCTGAGGCTAGTTTTACAAAAAGCTGAAGTGAAAATGTAAAAACACAGCCCTGGTGTAGGGATCCTTGTGGAAGAGGTTGGCTTCTCACATTCCTTGTACATTGCAGCCCTACCAATGTATATATATATTTAATGCACCGAAATTCCTGTATGCAACTAAAACACGATCTGATCCTGCTTTGGAATCAGTAGGTAGTTGGGGGAAAGGGGTTCTTTAGTCAAAACTGATGATTTAAAAAACAAAAAACAAAAAACACTTACTCATCCACATCTCCCAGGATAGCTACGGACTTGTTGGCTTCTAGAATGGGAAATACACACAAACAACTGGAAGGAGGTGAGTGAAAACATACCTGAATGGAAGCAAACAGAGAAGCCCAGTACCAGCCTTTTGATCGTGGTATGTACCTGTGCCAGCAACACAGATCAGCAGAATTTGGTCAGTTAAAGTAATGCTTCCCAGCTATTGAAACTACTGGGATTTGGGTCGGAGAAATCAGAGGATGGAAAGGCCACATGAATGTAGTGGGGTGGGCAGGTATGGCTGCTTTGCTGAACAGCAATAATGCTTGTACTACTAACAGGCATTTTCCTCTCATCACACTGTGATGTTTTTAGATCTCTATGTGTGTGCCTACTGCAGACTGCCGATTTTGTTCTTTCTTCGTTAGCCTGGTGTTGGTACAGCTTTGGAGCAGAGCTGAATCATTGTCCCTTGTCCACATTCACTGAACTGAGAGGCTCAGCCAGTGCAATTGCAATGGCCCATAGACCTGCCCTGGTAAGGCCAGCCTCTGCCATGCAGGGAGCAGGGGACTGCTGCCTTCAGCTGTGCCAGTCACTGGGACAGTGTAAGAAAGCACACAGATACTTGAACTTTTTTTTTTTTTAAATGATTTTTTTTTAAGAAACTGCATACATCAGGGACAAACAATAATTTAAATAGCATGCAGTTTCAGTATGTACAAAACCTAGGACATAGAGATCCAGCTTAATTTTTTTTCTAGTTATTTACATTGTTTTCATACAGCCATAATCTGTTAAATTACAATACTGGAAGAGCACATGATTGACAGCCACCACACTCACTCCTATACAAAGACAAACTATATACATACACTTGGATATCAACTGGCAAATGCAACTGGTGCAGGAGTAACTGGGACACATGGGAAAGCAGGTAGTGTGCCCGTCACCTCCTCTTTGCTTACAGAAGTTGTTCCAAGCTCAAGCAGGCTGAACACCTGGGAAAAATTATTTGTCCCCTTTTTTCTTTCCTGATTTTTTTTTTTTTATCAGCGTAGTCATTTCCCATGGCTATTCAAAGTGATGGTATTTGCAGGCACGTTAGGGAGCCCCTGTCCACATATAACTACGGGTTTTCCATCTTGCCCTTTTTTGTGTGAATGCAAGCGTTAATGTAACTAGGCAGGCTGGAAGTGCTCCCACTCTTGGTCTGCAGTGTTTCCACTGTACAGATGGCACAGTAGAAATAGTGGATGGTGAGTTTGGTGGCCAGTTGCAGTGGTGATGAAGTGCTGTGGTTTTACATGTAAACCTTAGGCTGAAATGTATCTGTGGAATGGGCTTACTACCAAGCTTCAGCTGACATAAAATTGTTAATAAAAATCTATTATATTATTTTTTTCCTTCTTCCTCTTTCAGTAACGTCTAGAGTGTGCACCTGGAACTGTCCAGACCAATTGTCTGAGCCTTATCCCAGGGAGCATCAAGCCTAAAACTATTTCAGCATGCAAGTACTTAACCAATGGTGCCTAGGGTGGAGAAAGGCCACAACACCGACCTTCCCCTTGATCCTGAGTCCTTTGCCAGGTCCCTGTCGTCCAGCCCTGGCAAGAGTGTGGGTGGGAACTCAATGCCAATGTTGTGCTTCCTTGCCATTGCTTTTTTCCAAATCATAGAACTTTCATCTAGAAGTTCTGCAGTTGCTGTTTCAATTCTTTCTTCCTTCCTGCTCATTTTCCAGCTCATCTTTCAACAGGCTCTAGGATAGGTCTTGTTACTTGTATATTTTAAGTGTGAATAACCCACAATTCAGCAGATAATAAAAAAAAACTTGACTCTCGTATATTATTACATCCATTATCAGCCCTGGAATACCAGTTTTTGTTCTGTGTTGACTTTTTCCATTCTCTAAATGTGATGTAGTTTATTGCTACTGCTAATCTCTTCCTAATATGAATGAGAATGACTGGTGGTAACTGAGTCTTCAGCAGGAATGCTGTCTTTACATAATCCAGCCTACGTGCAACTTCCCAAGAATGACAGAGTTGGGTCTGCCCGTTGAGGACATGCTGTGATATTCAGGCACTGACAAGTTCTTGAAGAATGCCTTGTCATAGGATAACTTTGCAAAATACCCCAAACTGCTGGAGCTACAGCCAGGTGAGGTGCCAGTTCTGCAGTGCTTACTGATGTCTTAACACTTCATATTGCCGTTTCTTCCTCTTCTTTCTCCTTTTCAGTAACAGGCTATACTTATGAGCTGGGGGAAATCCAGCAGTTCTTCCACTGTTTCCTTGTGTCTGCTTGGACTGTTAGAAGTGAATATAATTAAAAAATAAAATAAAAGCATTGCCCTGGGGACAACATGAATCCTGAGGCAGCCAGAGGTCAGCAGGAACTTGCCTTGGGCCCATTGGCCAAAGGCCTGGTGGCTGGTGACTGAGCAGCATTTATTGGCACCTGGCTATTATGCCCCTCAACCACTGCTGTAGGGCTTGTTTAGGCTACCAGCTGGCAGAGATGGGTGCTGTCAGGGTCAGTAGCAGTATGAGATGTTGCCCACAGACTACCCATTCCCCTGTAGACGTTAGCACTGACAACAGCCTGCTACTTCTACCTCTTTTCTCTTCATTTTAATAATCAAATAAAAAAAATAAAATAAAAATCTCCTTTCCCTCCCACTAGCCTATTCCATCCTGCAATCTCTGTCACTGCTCTCCTTCCCATTCATACCGAACCTCTAGGCTCATGAAGCAATGGTCCTATAGGCACCATAGGCAGAGAAGAGGAGGGCTGGTGGCTCCTCAGCCATTCTGCAGAGCCCCTTCCTGCTGCTGCGTGGTTAAAAGCCTAGAGGCTTTTTTTCCCCTTTCTTAAAGCCTGTGATGCAGTCTTGTTACATATATGTGTGAATAAATTCAACCACCATGATCCCCAGCTTTTCAAGAACATAACTGCAAAGCAGTGCTTGTCTGGCTATCAGTGCTCTCAGATGCTGCCTCTTGTCTCCAGTGGAGCACATCTGTGAGATACTGAGTACCACTAAGTGCAAATGGAGCCTGAGCGTTGTTTGGGCAGGCTGAGTGCATTTCCATGGGCTGTATGCAGGTTCTTTTGCACCAGAGGAATGAAACTGAGGCCTGAGATGAGGCAGGAGGGCTGGGCATTATGCACTATTGACCAGAAAATGCTCATGCAAGAGAGAGGCCTCTTGGCCCACGATCAGTGAAGGGCAAGGTTAGCATGGAGGCAGAGTGGGAGCACACAGGGATAGATAGATACTGGAAGACAGAAAGGGAAAAAGAAAAAAATAACAGAAATAACAGTGCTTTAGTTAAACTCTGGCCTCTCTGTTCAAATCTTCTAAGTATAATAGCTATTATGGAAATAAAAAGGTGTCCTGAAGTAATAATCTGGAACTTACAGTAATGTTGCTATTGTGCTTTGGATCACTGACCCAAAACAGTGTAATAGCTTCTTGTGAGAGCTAGAAAGGACTCATAGGCAACGTTTGCCCATGCTTACTGGCATTGCACTAGTTAAGGACTTGAATCTAAAAGGTGTTGGCCTACATCCAGAAAAGCACTTAAATGTGTTCAGCTTCAATGAAGCCTGTGAGACCTGGTTTGGATTTCAGTGAGACTGTCTGCATGCTTGTTTAGCATTAAGCACACACTCAAGTAGGCAGGTAAGCCAGGCCCAGAGCATCCAGCTCTCTGTGCCCTACTGGGTCAGTTCATATGTTAAACCTCTACGGTAAAAACAAAAATACAACAACAGGCCCCTGGATTTCTGTCCTTAAGCTTCAGCTGCACGTACCAGTGAGGAGTCCCACCATCCATACCAATGCAACAGCCTTCCTTTGTTAGGCTAGTTGACACACCGTCATGCTTTTCTCAGTACACATTTAGGATCAGTTCTTTATACCTGGTATAGGGAGGATAACTGTCCCCCATCAGCCCCCAGTTTTCCCATGGTGTGCCCTCTGCAGCAGAGGAGGCAATCCCAGCCCTTCTTGCTGCTGGAGGTGCGTTGGCCCTCACACAATCATGAGGCTTGAGCATAAAAACAAGCTACAGCCTGAAAGAATACCATGCAGTGACCACATAGGGAGTCCTTTTTTCTTCTTGGGAGCCAACTGTTGCCATATGCTTTTCCAGGGTAGGCAAGCAAGCAGCTTCAAGTCAGATGATGGTTGCAGATGAAACGGCCCACAGAGTAGTTTTGCTTCTTCTTTGTCCTCATAAGGTGCTTGCAGACTGAAAGGAGCGTTTGGTATAAGGAAGTGCTTTAGTGCCATAGGTGCAGGTCTACTGGAGACTTCACCCAGGCCCGTGGTTCCCTGGATACCATCTCAGGGCTCTCTCAGGTTGACGACAGAGGCTTGCCAGGGTGAAGGGTACCTGAAGGTGAACTAATGGATGCCCCACCAGCCGGGCTTGAACATGTATGGCAAATCCACATGCCAGGAAAGTCTTACACATAAATGCTGCGTCTTGGCACGATTCCCACCAGGGGTATTTTCTGTAATTGAAGCTTGAGCCAACAGGTCTGATGATGCTGCAGTACCCATCACATGTACATACAATTTTATATTTTTAAATATTCATCTACTTTTTTTTTTTTGTAGAAAGGCAGTTCGTAAGATTTACATTGTACATAACAGGGAAGTGAATAATACCAGCACTTATGGTTCCTTTTTCTTATGTTTTGAAGACAGCATAGTAGTTCAGGTAGAATTTAACTGCTATGGTCTGTGAAACCTAAAATGCAAGGGAGGGAAAAAGAAAGAGAGAAGTAGTAAGATAATATTTTCACATATATGGTACAAATTAAAAGGAAAAAAAAAGATCTAATTGCTACAAAATTATGCAGCTGGATTCCTGCAGTACTGACATTACCATGTTGGCACTGCAGAATTAGAACAGAGATGGAAACTTCCTTGGTTCTCACCAGACTTGCAGCTCACAGGCATTAGCAGTTAGCACTCAGATCTATCAGAAGCTTCTCTGTGTTTCAGGTAGGTCTGAAGAGAGGAACAGGGCTGAAAAGGCCACCATTTCTGCAAGAGCTCATCAGCAGGAGGCTTGTTTCATCAGCTGTGCAAATGCATTTTTTTAGGGTTTGACTTTTTGAATGTGAGATTTTTTTGAACTAATTAATCTGTCCCACTAGGAAAGCAGCAGTGACACTCTCAGCCCAGCTTATGCCACTGCTTAATGACATGAATAGGTCATTACCTTGCTAATGATTTTATAATGGCGATTTATCTAAGTTTATTTAAGGGAATTACTCTCCTTTGTTTCAGCCTGCTCCCTTCAAGTGCGTATTTCCTGAGGCCATTTGCCAAACCAGCAAGTCCTGCTGAACTTCAAACACTTGTGCCAATTTCTATTGGAGCTGTGAGTTTGCCTGACCCAGGCCTGAATGGGTCAAAGCCATGTGGTAGCTGTCAAACATAAATGAGCATAACTCCAAGGGTAACCACTCACCCTAGCAATGGAAAAGAAGCAAAATACTGCTCTGAAACCTGTAAAAGGTAAGCAGGTAAAGAGGCCTCCTGGAAAAACTAAACTAGCCTGTAGTTTTGTGGGATGCTAAAATGCCTCAAGGAAGTCACTGGAGCTCAACTGCTTGTAGCAACATCTGCTCTTAAACAGCCTCATCCCTTGTAAGTTAGATGTGCTCAGTGAGCCAGGTGTTCCTGAAAGCCTCAGTCACTGGAGCTGACAGATCTGGCCAGCTCTCATGGCTCAAAGGCAGCTGCTTGCTTGTCTTTAGCAGCACTTCATCATTACAAACCCCAGTGCATCATCGCAGCACATGACAGGAAGTGCAAGGTTGTTGTTACAGCAAGGGATACATGCATTATAAATGTGGTGAATTTTAATAAAGAATTTATACATTAAAAAAATCCCCTAGGGCAAAAAATATTTTTCCTTAAGTGTATCATCAAAGAATAGTAGGATGTTATAGTCACAAAATAAACAAGAGAGTTCGGCAAAGCAGACTATGATAACAAAAGAGAATAAAGAGAAGGCTTACCCCTATCCTGGGCTCACCCACAAAACTCCAGCAGAGCAGATCTCCAGCAGAGATCCTTCCCCACTGGCAGCCAGCTCTTAAATAGGTCTAGGAGGGGTGCAGCCAGGCTGCCCCCCTTCCAGCAGCACAGCTGAATTGCCTTCACTTGTGCTCCTGTGGCTGACTCAGTGCTCGCCTCAGGTGGTCAATCAGAGGTTCAGGCTGTGATTCAGCAGTTCCCATACACTTAAGCTTTTCTGTATTTTTCTTCAAAACCTTAACTGCAACTGTTATGACCACCACCCATCTGATGAATACATCAGTGTGCTATCAGCTCTGTCTGGGCTGAAACCAGGACACAGGGAGGGCACAGTGCAGTGCTGACTCCAGTGATGGCAAATAATTGTGTGCATTCAGATACATTGGCTTAGCCATGGTCCTGTGAACAGCAAAAAATACTCAGCTGTGTTTTCTGTTTTGATAAAGGAACTTGAGAATAAGCTTCAAGATTAAAAAAAATAACGTCAGGTTTTTTTCATATATTTGCAGCTCCCTTTTCAGTCAACATTAGAACTGCAGATTTTCAAATGGAATGTATAGAGTTGTAATCACACATTCAGCTCAAATGAAAATCTGATCATGTCTCTTCACCAGACTTCTACAAACCCTCTCTTACTGGAGAAATAGCCCTCGCTTCACAACCAGACCTTATTCATGTCATTGCTTTTTGGCACTATGTACAGTTCTGAGTAAATATTCCCCTTCTGCATGGCCAATGCAAGATGCAGATGACAGTACTGAGAATTTGCACTCATTCATCCCTTTCTATGTACTTACTCAGTGAGAGTTCCCTGTCCTTCTCTTCAATGCTATTTACCCTTGATAGCAGCAGAACTGACACCAGAGCACGATGATTTCAAACAAAAGGTTACACAGTGAATGGTGTGTGCCTGCATACAGCCGTGTAATAGGGCAGCACACGTTCATTAGTGTGTTTCTTTGACAGCCTGTAATTCTAAGTGGGGTCGTGAGTTCACAGGGTGCTTGAGAAATGGTTGCTGTTTCCTATTTTGTGGAAAACAACAGTATTCATTGCTGTCCTTAAAATAATGAACTTACCTTGTTAGATGCCTACTTAATTCATGAACTTCCATTTCAGAGCTTTTAAATTCATTAAGCTCTTTACGAATGGCTGCCTGCAAAGGACAAATAAACTCATAAATGTATAAATGACAGAAATCAAAATAAGTTCACTTTGTTCTCAAAACAATATATTAGAAGTGAAATAAATAACATTATTAGAGAGAAAAAACAACAACACGTGAAAAGGAAAAGAGATAAATGTTCTAAATTGCATAAAGGGAAGAAATAAATGCTTCAGTGGGATGGATCAATTTGAAAATGCAGACAGTGCTGATACAAAAGCCAATTTCGGTTTATTATGTAAACACTTTCATACACAAAATCCAAATTACCATAAGTATGAGACAAAAATCATGCACCAGAGCTTCTGAAACCCTGTGCTCTGTTTCAGAGCTGGACCATGAGTAAACTTAGCGTTGGTAGATCTCACCAGAATTACATCTGAAACGTCTCTCCCCTTTATGCAGTCCTAAATTCCCTCTGGTGAAGCCACCTAATCTGGGGCTAAGCTTACTCAAGAGGGAAAGGGGCTGGCCTGGCTCCCTGCTCTTCTCTCTGCCCCAGGCCATGCCCCTTTGCTCCCATCCTCTGTTCTGACTCAATTGTTCCACATGCCAAAACCGTCCAAATTCACCCTAAGTGAGTGGTTGGGTCAACTTCAGTAGGAAAACCTGTTACCTTCAGCTTCTGTGGTTTGTCCACATGGGAAAAGAAAATGATGAGAAGGGGAATACTGAAGAAGAAGAAGAAAGGTTGACTTTGAGTGACTCAGCTTCTTTGTGGAAATGGCTCTCAGCTAAAATGGCCCTCGCCCCATGCTGCAGGCTTCTGACAGTGCTGTGATATTTGTAGCACACAAGTGGGCCTCCCCATGAGCATACGGAACAGAAATGCCAGGTGCCAGTGTGGCCAAGTGGTCCCATGAGCCCGAGGTGTGTGCCACTGCTGGGAACCTCAGTGGCTGGAAATGGCCACTCCAATTATGGGTACTTGTGGCTGTCGAGAACGTTTTCTTGACTGAGTCTAAACCAGGATAAAGAGCTCAAGCCCACATCAGGGCTTCCACAGCAACCACTGATCTGGTCACCAATGACCTGTGCCTGGACAAGGCCTACATGACAGATCTTGTGAGTGTGCTCTACAGAACGAGCCTCTCGTGTTCTTCTTACACTGCTCTGCCTCTGTCTGTCAGAGCAGAGAGATGATTATGCACCAACTCAAGGGTCTACCTTCAGCAGACCATTTGCTGCTCAAGTGACTGTGAAGGAGGTCAAATGGCCTGCTACCTCCCATTGGGTTTGAAATCTATCACCTCCTGCATCTCTCAGCTGCTGGGGAGATGCAGAAGTGCCCTTCTTCCTCCAACAGTCAGATTTGGGAAAGATGAAGCCACGCTGAACAGAGTTCCCCATGTCCAGAACACAGAGAAAGATTTACTGAGAAACAGAAAAGCCCATTACTAAACTCTACTTTTGCAATAAATTTAGTCTGTGTTGACCAATGAAGGCAGTTATTGAATCAGAACTTTTAGAAGAAAATAATCTGTTATAGGATACTGTAGCTCGTCAGGTTCTGTGGCATTGGGTTCCAATTTGACTTTTTCTTTTTTTTTTTTTCTCAACAGAAGGTAGTGATAGGGAAAAGAAGGTGATCTGAATGGCAGGAATTAGAACACTTCCCAGATGACCCAAACATGAATAATATGCCAGAAGGGGCATTGATACTGGGAGGACAATTATTTTTTCTCTCCCGCTTTGCTGAAAAAAAAGGTTTGTTTAGAGAAAAACGAGTCTTCTGATTTGTGTACTGACTCGCACATGTGTTATAAAGAAGGAAAAGTGACCTCAAAGTACTTCTCTTTCATACTGAACTCTTTAACAGGCTACGTTTCACAGAGATATTTGATAATTGTTCTTTCCACAGACACGGGGTGAGAAAAGACCTCTCTGGTCACTTCATCTTCTCTTCCTTGATGAGGTATTTCCACACCTTCCATTCAGTGCAGAGGTCTCTCAAAGACAGAAGAACTGATTAGAAATTTATTCCTTCCCTCACTTATTGGGAGAATGTAACTCCCAATAGATAGATAGGACAAGACTTCAGTCAACTGATTTAGCCAATATGGTGATGTAAAATGGGAAAAGCAAATTTAATGCCTATATTATGGTCTGGGGACCGTCCAGAAAAAGATTTTTTTTGATCAGATCAGTTTATACTACATGAAAGTTACTGAAAGCTAAGCTGAAAAGGGCCTCTACTGAGGAGAAAAGTAGTGGTTATAAAACTTCACAATTAAACAAATTAACTAAGTAAAACTGTCTGTCCTTTCCTCTATGAAGCAAACCAAGAGCACCACAGGTGATTGTCACAGCCAGAATTCCAGCTCCTTTAAACACTGGATATCATGGTGTGGCCTCCATCACTGCATCAGGCCGTCAGCAAAGACATATGCAGGGCTTAAATCCAGGTACCTGAATGTCTTCAAAATTACAAGGGCATCACAGAGTGAATTCAAGGCACAGCAGCCACCTACCAGGCTCAGAGCCCTCTCTTCTTACAACTGCCATAAAGCATTTAAATTCTTCTTCACCATAAGACCCTCAGGATGTGACTTTGACCATTTGACAGCGATTTAACCTCTCTGCCACCAGTGCTGACACCAGAGACGCTGCTTCATGGAGCCAGAACTGGATTTCAGAGGACAGTGCACCTATTACCAAATATACAGCTGTTTTTCATCTGCAGGGCTCATGAAGCCTCTGCTCAGTGGTTACATTACTGTGTGGGAGGGAGCAGGTATCCTGAAGAAACACACCTGTCTCAACCCCTACAGAAAAGTAACCTGGCCTTGGTGGGATGGAGGTGCTTTTGCCAATTTGACCTGCTGGCATTCTTACAGCCAGGCCTGCTCAGTTCTGGCAGGTGCTGCTCTGTTAGGTCTGTCTTGTGGTGAAATGCTTGTGGGCATTCTCAGCTGGCAGAATTGTGCAGCAAGCCCCAAATCAATGAACAAATAACACAGGGCTACCATCAAGGCTTCTCTTCCAAGGGTCTTACTCTTTTTAAATGATGTAATGCTGCTGTGTTTCCACACACACAGGAGCCTTCTTGCCAAAGGTGTATAACTCAAACCAACAAACCTGGTGAACTGGGAAGAGAGCTCTGATGTTTCCTCCCTGGTGGCTGTGGGACCTGAGGGGTGCTGCTGACCATGACATGCTCTAGCTGTTCAGGTCATGGCTCTCCCCAGGTCACTCCACTTACTTTGTCGGCAGCCGTGAGTCGCGTCCAGGGTTTGTCTGCCCTCCTGTCATAGTCCTGTGCGTCGGCCACCTCCACGTAGTCGCTGAAGCGGATGAGGATCTTCCTCTCACGCAGCTCCTCTACTGTGGGCCTCTGACTCAGCTGCATGGTTGAAGAAGCGGTGGAAAAAGACATCAGAACTTCACTTCTTCCCTGCAGAGTGCTGCCTGGGGATCAGTTTTACTACAGCCACCATTGTGATAATAAGAGAATTCAAACATCACCAGGACTGTTGTTTTTACTGGGCTTTCACAGACCTGCTACCTGGGAGACAGATACCTTGTTGCTTGCTACAGCACCTTGTTTGTTATGCCACCTTGCTGCTGGAGCAGAACACTGTTGTTTGGGAAGCAGCCATGGAAGAAGCCCCTGATCCCTGGCAGAAATTGGATGCAACACAACAAAGACAGGTGGCACAGTGATGCCTCATGAGGAGATGAAGACCTTATAACCTCACACTCTCCCACATGATCCCTTGTCTTGTGCTGCTGTGGATGCTTTAGTGCTGCCAGGGAACGGCTATGCACAGGAACAGGGTGGATCCTGCCTTGAGTTAGTTGCAAAAGGTGACAAACAACTTTCCTTACCATCCTGACATTCTGCAGTCCTGCCCTTATCCTCCAGACATGGTGGGCAAGATGATGACTATTGCTTGCTGAATGTTTCACTGAGTGCTGCAGCTCAATTTTATGCCACAGCATATTTGACTTCAACAGCTTACACTGCATACTACAAGCTAAATAACAAATTGCAAGGGTGGACTGTATCATGTCAAGAAAGCCTCTTCACTGTTCCAAAGCCACTTCTTTCAAACTTCTCAGCAGAGAGAGCAGCCAGTCAATCTCTGGTATTCCATGTATGGAATGGCCGCTTACATGGGCAAGGACAGGTATCTGCATTTTGGGATCAGTTCTCCTTGGATGCTCAGCTTGCTGGTTAATCTCAAGTGGAATTATATGACTGTTTCTGAAGAAGCCACAACAGGTGTGTGCATGTGGATGTGCATTAGCTGCTAATCCTCCATTAGTGAAACATCTGTAACAACGATATTATCAGGAAAAATAACCATAAACTGCTAACATTTAGCTAGACAGTATCTCATGCTATTACCACTCACTAAAAATAAGTGGGCTTTGCAATACCTCACTCTTGTGACCAGTGAAAAGTTAAGTACTTCATAAAATGCTTGAGACTCTTTTCTGCAAAGGAGTTCAGGCTCCTGGATCCTGACGTGCAGTTCCACCTACCTCCCAAATTAAGCATCTCAGTACCTTTCACTTCACCTCCCAGGGAGAATTAGCATTCAAACCAGAGAGGATGCTGAGAGGAGAATGAAAAATCTGCGAGATCACAGGAAAGAAGCCCCACCTCCTTAGAGCAACAAATTGCTGGGGTAGGACTGCACCCCATCCCATCCCACCTCTGCACTTAAATCCCTGTGTGACTCTCCTTGGATCATCCCTGGAGGATGCTTGCTTTTCTCTTCTCTTTTATAAGAAAGCGGTGCTACTGGAGGTGACAGTGGTGCTGCTCTACTGATGCAGACAGTCCTCACCACTCACAAAGTGGGTTCAGACATCACCTGTAGAAAGGCTGCAAAGCTGAACTGACACCCCAGTGAGCTGCTTCAGGACAACAGGAACCCTGTTCTACTCGTCCTGGCTGCAGCTGAGACATTATTGCCCAGAGAAGAGAAAGAAATCACAGAAAGAGGTGTAACCAACCACACACCTCTACTGCCATGTCGTGCCTTTGCCTAGGGCAGCATCCATCAAGTTGTAGCTTGGTTCATGTATTGTCTCTCAAGTCATAAGCCTCAGAGAGGCTTCTCTCTGATCCACAGCTCATCTGGAATGTGATTCCAAATCACTAGTTTTTCTAGCAGTCCTGCTACTGGGAGCTGGCAGCTTTGTTAGCACTGATGCACTGCTAACAAAACAACACAGCAGAATTTTTCTTTCAGTTTCTTTTTTTTTTAATCTATGCCCGGACAGTGGGGATAGAGAAGATCTTTATACTGAAATAATGATGCGACTACAGCCAAATATTGCAAAGATAAGAGTGTGAGACTCCATCTTTACTTCTATCATCTTTTTTTTTTTACCCAGCAGCTTGAATAAAGGGTGAATCCCCAATATTATCTGTACCATTTTCAGCTTTTAACATTTCAGGACACAGCACAGCTGATACTTGGACTATTCTTTCAAATAAAATGTTTTATGACATGGAGTATGGTGACATCAGCAAAAAATGAAATCTATCAGCTTAACTCTGTGTTTCTGAATGGCACCAAGTGAAAAAGGAATTCCTATAAACCTTGCAAGCTGGAAGAAGCCTTCCAGAAAACAACTGGCTCTATTTCGCAGCTTCTGTCAACTGTTACCAGCTGACTTTCGTGTTTGTATCCATCTTAGAGATGAACAAGTTCTACAGAGGAGAGGGCAGATGACTGCTGATCCACTGCACCATGCTGTGCCAACCTGATGCCTGGCTGGTGTCAAGAATGCTACAGCATCACAAGCCCATTGTGAAACTTTGGTGTTAATGTGCTTTTTTCATTCTTAGGTGGCACCTAAATGTAACACAGACTAAAAGCTGGTTCTCTTCCTCTAAAACTGCATATTGTTTTTAGATACCCTGACTTTGCTTTGGAAACATACAGTCACTGCAACACCACTGCAATGACAGGTATTGTACATCCCACTACAGTGGTGGTTTGTGTCCCCATCCCTGCCGAGCAGCTGGGGCAAGTGAAGTTGAAAGACCAGCTCAGGGTGACCCAGGACCCCATGGCAGAGCTCTGAGCTGCCATGAGATGCACTGTTCCTGTGCCAGTGCTCTGGCTGAAATACTGTCCTTATATCCAACAGCTAATGTACAGCCATAAATCTACATATATTTGCATACATAAGCACACATACACAAATATTCAATATATTAAGCCAAAGCACAGATCCAATCATAATAAATGGGGAGAAAAGGACAATTATTTTAAGACAGCAATAAAAGCTTCATTATTTGTACTGTTAACAAACTGCCCTGCCTCTTTCTCATACCATTACAGAGGCTTCTTGTGAACTGCTAAGCTCTTTCCATACGTCTGCATTATGCAGAGCACCCTTAAATCTTAAGGGCAGCAGCAGCTGGCAGACAGCTTTGCAGAACACTCTGTAAGTGTCCATTCAGTGTCAGTTTGTGACAAGGGCACAGCTCACCTGAGATCTCACCTTGGCATTTATTTTAATGACCTGTGAGTTACGGTCTCTTGGATCAAAATTACTTCGTGCTACACAATCCTTCATGGACCACATCTGAAATGAGCTCTGCTTCTTCTAGCAGATAGGAAGAACCAAGAGTGTTTGAAAGTTACAGGAAAAGGACACATTCAAGGACATGATGCAATTGCTTACAGCAAGAAGTGCTGTTCCAAGCAGGGGAAAAGGGGTCTCTCTCTGTGCTCACCCTGTGGCTCCCTATAAGTTCAGTCAGACCTTAAGGACACTGGGACATCTGGGAACTTTTCAGGGGCACCAGAGGGAGGTATTTAAGGCAGACGTTTTCTTAAAAAGATGGCATGAGGATTGGCATTTTTTACAAGTATGACAAAGAGTGTTTTTTTTTTCCTTACCACTGCTAAAATTAGCAGGATGTCCATGTGTGTCTTGTCTGGGTGTACCACCTCGGCATATACATTCCTGTTCATCCATTTGTGAACATTTGTGAGTTGTGGGAGAATGCCAATTCAGTGGCAAGTCACCACGTTATTTTAGTGTGAATGTGAACAGAAACTGTTGTCATGGGAGGCCAAGTGTTCCTCTGGATGTTTTGTATCACAAGAGATAAATATGGGCACATTACAAGTTTTGATATTCAGCTAGTTTTCCAGGGAAGTTTTAACTCAAACCCCTTTGTTCTCAGCATGGGATATGAAGCAAACTAAAGCACTGTCACCAAGTAAAGTTAAGTTCAGGAAAAGCCAATCTTGTCAGTCTGATCTTGGGATTTAGCCAAATGTGAAATGCTGACTTTGCTCTACTTCAGACACAACAAAGCTTGTTACCCTGTCTCTTCACTGCTTGCTTTGTTACCTCATTAAAATGTTACAATCGTTATTTATGGAAGAAACCAAAGTGAAAAATGACAGACTCTAACTAGCAGTGCTAACAACCTCCTCACCTCTTTGCTCCTCACCTCTTGCGCTAAGACATAGGAGCAGGAGGTGACTTAAATGCCCCAAAGCTCTTTTCCCTCTTTGACTATAAATGCTGTTTATCCAAATTAGCAGCTAACCTTTACTGCTTTCTGACCTTTTTTCCCCCTTCCTTTCACCTCCCTCTGCTTTGCCACACAACTCATTATTTCAAACATCCTGTCCTGATGCAGGTGAGGGGAGGTCCATTATAGAAAATACTTATCAGCAAGACACTTCCTGGAGAGGCTCCAGCTTGCTCTCCCATGAATAGAGGCTTTAAGCTGTACTGGAGGAGGAATTTAACAGGAACAAAGACTTCAGACTATTGCATGGATTTTAAGAAACAGCCACATCTCTTCACTTTGGTTGTTTCTACTGCTACAAGAATTTTAGTCTTGTAGCCAGTGAAAGACTACTGACAGTGGGGGGACAGGAAGCAGTGAACAGCTCTGGGGAACAGGGAGAATTTGAGAGAAGGCAGGAAAAGCAGAGCTTTGCCTCCTCTTTACAAGTAAATCTGTAATATCTTCCATTCATTCAGCCTACAACTCTATCTCTGCAGAAAACCTCAGGGGGAGTTCAGGCTCATGTTAATTGCCTTGGTGCTACACAACAGCGAGGAGAGGATAAATTCTTAGTTGTAGTTTCTGGAGGCCCAGATCTCCTCGTGAAAGGAAAGTGGATCCAACACTTCTCCCAGAGGATCTCTGCACATTCACAGTTCTGGAATGGGCTTGGTAGATGTCTGCAATCAGAACTCAGAAAAATCCCCGCTATTCATGTTCCTCAATTCAAACAGTAGAAGTCCAGGTGACCAAAGCTGCCAGTGGGACTCCATGGGAGAGAGCATGGGGCAGGACAGATGTGCAAAACCCACCCCTGGACACTCAGGTGGGAGGCAAATATCTCTCCCTCATCTGGCAGGAGGGAAAAAAGTTACTGAGAAACTGCTTCAAGCACTATCTACCTACTTTTTACTCTCTGAGTGGCAGCTATTTCCTATCCCCAGTTAGTTAATTTGGAGTTAGATGAGTCTGAGAGCATGAAAAGTGCTTACAAGTGCAGCTTGCTACAGGCTACCCAACTTCTTAGAGTTTTTTTAGAAATTGCCTGTCCATATGATGAATTCAAGTGGATATTTATTACTGCCTTTAATAAGACATCTAGACCTAGTAAGGTAATTTCAGTTATTACAGCATGTCATGTTACAACTCATCATCCTTATACTGTAGCAAAGTGTGATTGCTGAAGGAATTTTAGGAACAGCTTTCTAATGGATGAGGAAATGAGTTGTACCCTTAGAGCTGGAATCATGCCATCGGAAATTCGGAACAGTAACAATTTCTACAGTGCAAAGTCAAAAGTCTTTTCAGTGGCTTCTCCAGAACCCCTTCTGATTACAACCAGACATGGATACAGGAAGGCAACATGGCATACTTTCCTTACGTTGAATTCACCCTGTGTGCACGTCTGCATGAGAACTCAGTACAAATAGAGAGGTCTGCTGGGCAATGCTCTCGACGTGCTCAATTAAATTTCTGCTTGATCTGAGGTTTAAAATCCTTTGGTAATAAGACTTCAGTACAAATCGACAGAAGGAGCCTGCCTCTCTGCTGCAAACACGACACATCTGGGACATGTTCATGAAAGACAGAGCTGGGGAATAACAATTCTTGCAGGATTCACTAGGCACTTGGCATTTCTAGTTGTCATCTAGCCATTAGCACACTTTATTCACTTCTTTCCTCCAGACATTACTGAGCCTCTGTGATGGTACATTTGGCAGGTGAGAATGAAATTCCTTGTTAGACCAAGCCTGTGGTTAGAATCATCGAATCACTAAGTTTGGAAAAGACTGCTAGGATCATCCAGTCCTGGAACAATTTACAACAGTTTAACAAGTAAGCAAAATCAAACAATACAAGTTATGTTGCTACCAACCTTACAAACATGCTAGGGGCAAAAGAAAATATTTGTTAAAGGAAAAAAAAAAAAAAAAAGGCTAAAAACAGCATAGCCTGGAATGTTGGCATGGAACACTGAACTGCCAAGGACCTGGACTGGCTTGTTCCTACTTAAAATAAGACAAAGGAAAAAAACCTTACAGAAATCTGCTGACATTTCAGAGAGCAGTCATGTAGCCTGGGTGTTTTAGTTCAGGATGTAGCTGTGGCCTCTATCTCTAATAGACAATTCATTTGCTATGTACTTCAGCAAGCCCCCACTTGTAAGGCAGCAGATTAGCTATGGGAAGCTTTGTTTTTTATCTACTACAGTTATTCATTAGATGGCGTAAAACTTTGTACTGGATTCCTGTATATGTTTACATATACATATAGAAATTGACAGACTGGTAAAGCAGCACTTCTAGCCTTTGCGCTGAGTTTAAGTCCTACAAAATCTCTGCACTGCAGTTAGGTTCTATGCCTTCAGACAATGCTATAAGGGGATAAGAGCATCTCTACCATTGTTGGAAGGAATTAGCATCTTTAAAATAGTATTATAGCTCTCTGGGCCACATTCTTTGTTCCTGCAGACAAAGGCAGTATCACCCAGCTGGTGTCAGAGAACTCTGCTGATTTAATTGAGAATAAAGTCTGAGATTTTTAAGCATGAAAGAAAACAATCCAGCTCCCTGAATGTAAGCTTTGCATATATATTCACAGTCCTTTTCCTGTCATTATTTGCACCATAAAAGCTTGCAGTCACATATGCCAAAAAGACTAAGCCACCTAAAAGCCTATAGAAGAATGGTGCTGCTCCATAAGCTTGAGTTTTTAGAGGACTTTCTCCTGCTCTGTAGGTGGGAAATAGAAGCCAGTGGTGAAATAAAGTTTACCTGCAATAACAGGACAGACTGCTGGCTATGTATATTGGGACATCTGTAGACATTTACACCAGTCGAGAATCTAAACATGTGTATCTGAAATTACTGTTCTTCAGTTTTAAGAGCAAACGACTTTTAAATGGGAGGAAAACCAAAACCAAACTGTCCTGTTTACTTTGTCCTTCCCTGCTGATCGAAGATTGTACGATTGTTTTCTGCACTACACACCATTTTCCAAGTGCTTCTCTCTATTTAGTTGGAATGCCTCAAGTGGCAATCTCCCCTTCCAGAAAAAGTTTATTTCCTAGTTTACTGCTTTTTAAGTTGGAACTTTCAAATGCAATCAACACTGTTTTAACTTTGCTCTCTCCTTGTAATAGCTTTGTAGGCTATTCCATTTACACAGAGCAGAGTTAGACTGATGCCAGGCTGTGCATCCTGCATAGTTCAAAGCTTCTTCTGTTACGAAGTCTAGACCTTACTTTGGCCAACTCCAAGATGTTCCTGTTAATAGCCTGCACAGCACTTCCCTGCCCTGCCCATGGACTTAAACTCTGTAGCAGAGGTGATGTCTTTTTTTAAAGATTTCTTTCAAGACTGACTTCATTCCTTACTTTTGAAAATAGTGCTGTGGAAAAGAAAAAATACAAACAGTTGTGCAGTAGGAAGAAAGTTATGGTAATGCCATATTAGGATCAAAGCTGCTCCTCACCTTACGTGTTAATCTTCTCTTTATCTCTCGTTTTTCTTCCTGCTCCTCTTGCTCATTCCGGGCTGTAAGAGATATAAAGGAATGTCAAGCTGCAGACTTATCAAATATGCAAAGTGTGCAACAAATAAGCCTGTCCATCAGTATATTAATGTTTCAGGACTTCTCTGATACACAGCATGCCCCCCTGGGACTGGTGGACCTGCCTGACCCATAGCTTCTCTGCTTCTTCACACACTTCATAAACATCTACACAACCTTCCTTTCCCTGTGCTGGTACTCTTCATGTGTGCCACTCTGCCAAAGGGCCAGGCAATGAGCCATTATCTCACTGCTGTGAGGGGTTCAGCTATGATATGGTTTGATTCCGAGAGGTCAACAGCTGAAAAAGAAACATGCGTATAATTTTTTTTCCCCTCTGTGGAATGGAAATGGATAGAAAACTCAGAGTAGGGATGTTAGGCAACATCTGCAACTTCATATGACCTGAGCAGAGTGAAAAGAGAGCCCCCTTCCCTCCTTCATGAGCCTTCACAGCATTGTACTGGAGTGCAAAAACACATCCCAGGAAATCCACTTTTAACAGTAAGCCAAAAAATCACATGCTACAAATTCTCACCAGGGTAAGCCTCAACCATTACCACTCGAGAGGGCAGTAAGATTTGACTACATTACCTTTTTTTTCAATTTAGGAACAGGCTCTCATGCACGTCTTGGCAATGAACTTTACTGAAAGTCAATAAAATCACAGGTTTCTGTGTACTCCACTACTCAGTGGATCCCGCATAGTTCAAAGCTTCTTCTGTTACGAAGTCTAGACCTTACTTTGGCCAACTCCAAGATGTTACTGTTAATAGCCTGCACAGCACTTCCCTGCCCTGTCCATGGACAGTTAGGATCTGTTTTAACTGCTTTGTTGATACCTGAATTGCTCCTTACTAGAATCAAGCCCAAAGGAAAGCAAATGCAACTCAGCTACAAGTACCCTGTGCCCATTGTGTGATTTGGTTTTCACTCAGACAGAACTAACTCAGGCACCAATAACTCTGTAGGGAAGCTACAGAAGACATCCAAGGCCATGTTGGGGTAGGAGGCTTGAACTACATCACTTAAATTCGGTCTAAAATAAATCCAAGGGGAGCAGGCACCTCTGGCAGAATGGTAGTAACAAAATAGGATATACTGTTCAAGCAACTGTGTGGCAAAGTCACACAACAAGCAAGAAGGGCTGGGCGCCAGTTTTTTGCTGTTCAGGACAACAGAGAGCCACTCCAAGGTGATTGCTCACTGACTTCATCAGGACTGGGAATTCTCCACCAAAGTGGACAAAGAACCCACCAATAGTTTGCATGATGGTTTATAACACACCCATTACCTTTAAATGCCATTTTCCCCAAAATACTGCTTGCATTGTCTGGAAGAAGGAATCTGATATTGGAGCCGAAAGATTAGAAGACACCATGGGCTTACCAATAGGTTTTTAAATGGTAACTAGAATACCTATATTGTTACATATACTTTTATCTTGCAATGGTTTCTTTTCCTGCTGGGCTGGATTCTGGATTAGCAATTGCTCTTTCAGCAGTTTTTTTCTTCCCGTTGTGTCTCAAATTTGGAGAAGCCAGGACTGCAAATAGCCACTCACAGAAGCACAGCCACTAATAAATCCTTTAAGATTAAGCCAGAGAGAACGCTAAATGGAGTCCACATGGTGCCTGGGCAGCACTGAAAGTATATGAGGGGTTATGCATAAACTGAGTCAAAGTGGTTCACTTTTGTACTCCGCATACAATGCTTTTCTTTTCTCCTCATTTCTCAGCCCATTTACCCACCTTCAGAGACAGCCAGGCAGGCTGAAAACCTTGGTCAGGAACAAGCTGGGAAGTAGGAATACATTCTCCTCTGAAAACAGAAAGTACTGTTTCTTTCATTTCTATTAAACAGTGCTGATCTACAGAACTGTTGCTTTATTTTATGTATTCAGGAGATGCTCTGTTTCTTCAGGGTTTACTGGGTCACAGTTTTCAGGCCTAATTTCTGTGCTAGTGTGAAATGTCCCCTGGCACATTCTGAGACCATCAGACCCCATCTACCCAAGTTTTTATGAGGAATTCATGCAAGCTTCATGTGCCAGACTGACAAGTGAAGTATTTGTATCCATCACAGAAGTTGTACTGGGGCATGCAGGCATCCTTCCTTGTAAACTAACATGGCCTGCAAGTACTAATTTCAAAAAGAGTAGTTTAGTCTTCACACTAACCCTACAGGTCTGTACTTCTCTGCATTGTGTGCCTTTGATTTCATTAGGAGTCACTGCCTTGGGTGCATGTCAGTGAAGGGCTGGTCAAGCACATGTCCCCCTGTTCTCAGTTTCTTTGCTGTGGCTGCTGTAATCTTACTGCTGCTACAAGCAAGTAATGGATTCTTGTAATTTAACAAAGACAGTACTTTCATAAGTGTCCCTGCAGCATGGAGCTTGGAAGGGATCACTTCACTTATAGGGAATGGATGCACATCTGCATTTTGCCTCATTTCTTCCCATCACAACTGGCAATAATGCAGTTACACATCACAGGAACAAAACAATACTCAGTACGACAACTGCATCAAGGAAATGTCAGCTTTAACTGCAGAGGAAATCCTATTTACTTCATCTGGGAGAAGGCTGGGGTTTCTTTTTGGTGTGTGCTGTGAACTGGGCTTTTGCAAACAACTTGAGCTGTTTACACAGAGAGTTTGAAGTCTTAATTATTGCATCCCATGTCTCTTTCTCCATAGGCTTTACTGCATCTATCAAAATTCTCAGAAATCTAGGGAAAGGAAGAAAGCAATTCTGTACTGAACAGACACTATATTTACTTGTTTAAGAGTAGAATATTATTTTATGTATTTTTTTAAGTTGTGTAACTATTTTTAAATGTTTGTCCTGTTGTGCTTCACCAAAAATTAAGATGCCATGGGAATACCATCTTAGCTTTTCCTGTGACTATGACGTTGTTTGTCTACCTGGACAGACATGGTTTGGGGCAGATGCGTGCTTAAGAATCAAGATTAAAAAATCAATTTAGGAAATAAAAGTATAGTTCTGGATTCACAGCAATATTTTCAGGCACCTTTGTGTCATTTAGGAGCCTCTACTAAATTCAGAAGGAAACTGATGAGGCTCAGAGGATACATTCCCCTGAAAAACGAAACAACTCAGGTCTCTGCGTGGGAGAGATTAGGAAATCTCTGATAGGACCCCAGCTTTGGTCATGTCACTTCTCTGCTTCTAACACTTTATCCAGAGCTGCTGCTTGAGACCCCCCTACCTTTGCACAGCCCCTGGCAGCCACAAGCACCAGTGCTAGGGTGGTGTTTACTGGTCACATACCAGTGCCAGGTGCTGCATGGCACGCGCTGCTTCATGCTGGTAGCCAGAGCCAGGATGACAACATGAGCTGCTGACAGAATTGCCCTCTGTCCCCATTAGCCTGAGCTCATTGTTGGGCATGTTGCAGGTTCCCCCTCCTCCAGCTGTCCTGATAGCCTCCGTCCCAACGCAATCACAGAGGGACGTGCCACCAGTTCCCCAGTTTCTGCCCCCTTGAAGACTGAACTCCGCCAGCTGCTGGCACAGGGATGAATAGTAGGAGCATGGCTATCACAGGCTAACACAAAGAAATGGCTTTCCTGGCAGCCTTGGGCTCCCTGCACTCTCTTTGCTGTTTACTCTTTGCTCCTCTATTTGCACTGATAGTGGTGTCTCTGTCTTCCCTTGTCTGCCATGCACGACAACATGAACAGATGAATAACACACTGGGAGTTTGATTCTGAAAAAATTTAATCAATCATTGCTGCTAATTTCCAGAGAATCTGTCTTTTGCTACCACACTTCTATGATTCTGTGCAAGTCTGTAGTTTGAACAACAATAGAAGATACACAACGGACCAACCTATGATGCTCTTTTAAGGTACCATTTAGGGATACTTTTGTCTGTGTTCATTTTCAAAATTTTCCTGGAATGAAGGATTTAACAACTTAAAAAAGGAAGAAACTGTTTATTCAGTTCCCTATTTCTGAAGTACAACAATAATGAGATGAACAGATTTGTGTTCCTGTTAAAAATCAAACACTTCAGTGTGAGTAATGAAATGCTTTTTTTTTTCCCTATTCATTCACAAGATTATAACGTTTATGCTAGACTCAGTCCTGCTTCTCTTGGAACTGGTGACAACAGATCTAGTAACATAACTTATCACAGGCTCTCCAAATGGTAGTCTGTCTCTTTAAAATATACTTTAATGATCTGAGGATCTACCGGTGAGTTTTTGGCTGATGTAAAGGAAGAGTTTCAGGGGAACATTTCACTGGAATTATCCCAAGAAACACAGGATTCTTTTTTGAATTAAATAAAGGCTCCACCTAAGTCTAGATTGCTGTGAAGGTTTTTAGCAAAACTCATCAAGCCATGCTCTAATGGCTTTACCAGCTTATAATGGGATGCTCATATCCGTGTGAGAGCAGCACAGAAAGGCTTTTCAGAATGATCCTCTGTTGGGAACAGGACTTGCAAAAAAGATTCAGGGTTGTTTTTTTTTTCTTTCCCAAAGGCTGTTCATTCATGTGTATTTACTGACTACAATTTTAATGAATTATTTCTGCAGCTCTGAATGTTGCTGCAGACTTGCACACTTACTTGCATTTATGATGCACTTTGTTTTTATTCGTGATGCACATATGGAATAGCCGATGTTTTATAAAAAGAACCCACACAATATAAATCTAAACTAATGCAAACTAGCTGGCTTCAGATTCAATGTCAGTAGTATCAGGACTTACGTTTCAGAATGTTCCTCTGCTCCAATTCTTCAGCTGTTGGCCTCTGGCTCAGTCGTCTGCGAAAAAAGTCCAAGATCAGTTTCTGGACCATATCACATCCTCCTCAGCTCACTGTCTTTGAGAGTTTTTTTGAGGTGTGGAAGGCGGAGCAGAAAGTGCCAACGCTGCTCCATTATGCACTTGGTGTGCCTGGCCCATGCGTGACACAGACCATGCTTCACTTTTGCAGTTTCCTCTGTGTTCAGCCCATGAAAGACGAACTACGTTATGTCATCTTAGGCACAGCACTCCCACCCCTACCCCAGGCAGAGCTGCTGGGAGTTAAGCTACACAGATGTCTTCACTTAATTTCCTTCCTCCCATGCCTGCTTCCTGACTCGCACAAGCACTTCTAGCTGAGACCCTGCTAACCCTCTCCCTGCCCTCTTGTGAGCCTCCAGGCTTGTCCAAACGGCATCTGAACACAGGCAGCCTGCAGAAAAAACAAGGGACAGTTTTGGCAGTGCTGAGGGCAGAACAATAGTGGCACTCCTCCTCCACAGCTCCACTCCCCTCCTCCTCTGGTGGCTTGTATTAAACCTTACAGCGAAGATCAGCATAACTTGCTTGTCAACCTGTAGGACAGATTCACAACCAATGCAATCTAATTACAAACGGAGCCCTGAGAGCAGAAACAATCTGAATATTCAGAATACAAAGCAAAGCAGAAAAGCACAAAGGGATCTTGGGGAAAACAAAGAGAATCACTACAATGACATCAGAAGTCAACACTGTTGGGCCTGCTCCTGCTCTCACCAGGCTCAATGGGAGTTTTGTCAGTGCTGCCAGTGACAGGACATCCCCTTCTCATCCCTCAGGCATAGTCATTCAGGGAGGTACTGATAGGGGCAGACTTCAGAGCAGGGGATCATGTCTGCACCAGATAGTTCAATCCCCTGCTTTGTTCAGCAGCCTCTGGACTGACCTCACCTGGTGCACAGGGCTGGAACGCATGGGATGGGCAGGAGCCTCACCTTCTGTATGAAGGCAAAAGTTTGGGTAACTGATTTTACACAGCCTGAAGATTTCTGCTGTCAGAAAAGATTTCAGCTGTACTGCCTTTGGGGCCATTTTCCATCACTAAGTCAGATCATGGCCCTATTCCAGTGCAGAATTTGGAGTGACTGGTTTTGCCTCTTTGCCATGGCAGATCAATCATGTACCTCACTTGAAAAAGCACTGATAGGGACAGAAACTTGACATAATTCAGAAGTAAGGAACACCTACAAAGTACATTGAAGATGAAAGTACTGTTCGAATGCTTGCTATTACCATCTTTAAGATACAGCAGCTGTTGCTAATGGAATACTTCATCTCAGTATTAAGAAGAAATTAAAGCTATTATATTTCTATCAGCAGTTGAGAATCAAAGAGAATAAATTGCCAAGTTTAGGTCCACTAAGAGTTTCTGCAGAAACCGAGTTATATGAAGCTTTTAATCCACCACACTGTGATGTTTCTCAAGAGGAAGCATCACGTGAATGTTCAGGACAGACTCCATCCACCCAGTGTGCAGCGCTTCTATAGAAACAACACAAGAAATGCAAGGAGACGTCAGTTTGAAAAGGCTTCCAAAAAACTCCTCCTCTTCCAGAAAAAAAAGATGATTAAAAGACTCAGCCAACAGTTTTTGTCAAGAATGGACCATTTCGAACAAAAGGCACAGGTTTTGTCTATCTACATGAATGATTTACATAAAAGACCACGTCTTCCATGTATATATTTCTCAGTAGCTGCCATAAAGTAGATGAATTTAAACAAAGTTTGTACTTCACTTTGTCACTGCTTCTACTCTGAGGTGAGTGATTTCCTCCACGTGTGCCCTACACATGTATCCCCATCTTCTGTGCAGCTCAGAGACCTACACACTATGCAGTTCTTCCCTAAGATGCCCAGTAGGAGGTCTAGTGAAAACCAGTCAGAAACACCTGTGTTCCCCATCAAGAATCAAAGCATTTTACGGATGCCATAAAATACCCTTTTCAGGCTGCGATGTGCTCCTGCCTCAGTGATGACCACTGTTCTAAAGGCATGAAGTCACGTGGCAAAAAAACCATGGTATTTTTGGTAGATGCAGTCTAGAGATCAAGAGCTCTTGATTTTCATGGACTGCTGCTACATTCCCATTTTCACCTCATTTTGGCTTGACTGGGCCTGCTCCCTCATTGTTTGTTTCTCTGATGAGTGAAACAACCCCTTCCCCAGTCCTTCTCATCCAGGCTATCACAATTATTTTTCTTGTTCTCCTGCTCTTTTCGTTTCATTTCTTTTGCTTCCACAGTGACTTCCATCCCCAAACTATCTTTGAACTCTACAAACTCCACAACCTCCTCAGAAAAGCCATCTTTCAGTTTTTACTTTTTCCCTCTTAACTTTTGGGTTTGCCATAGGTTGGGCAGCTGTTAACATTTTTGAACATCTCACTGCTAGGTACTATCCTATAATTAAATAAATGTTGGCAGCTCTTGCTTTGTTATGTGGCTGCAAAGATAGATTTTTTTTTTCCACACCTAATTTCCGTGTACCATCTTCAGTGCACTGTTGTGATCTTAGCAAACAGTAGATGTGATAACTCCACTCTTTGTCTTTCCTTCCTGTGTTGCGCAGAACAAAAATGTTAACAAAGCCCACCTAGATTGCAGAGGCTGATTTCAGAGGTTTGATTGCTGGATTGCTGCTGTGCCTTCCTTCATTTAACATCACAGGGGCTGCATGAGGCTGTCAAGAGGCCAGAGGTCAGGAAACAAGTGTCTAATTAGCAGCACAATCAGAACAAACAGGAGAAAAAGGAGGTGAGAAATGATGTGGCAGACCTCCTGCAATAGCAAATAAAGGAACTGCTTATTAAAACTATCAGAATCAAGTGGGATGCAAGTTATTGATCAGAATGGGAACTATGTTTTGTGGAGCTGCGGGAGTGCAGATATCTGACCAAGGAAAAGACAGGCCTCAGAAAGCACCAGCTTTTCAACAGTTCTTTCTGTACTTAAAGACCTTCATGTAAACATGCTTAACCATGTGTGAATATGCCATGCTTTTTGTTTTGCAATAAACATCAGGCATTCAAGACGGCAGGGAGGCATGCTGCTCCTTGTGCTCTGCAATGTGTTGTCTGTTTTACACTTCACACGTTTTTGTGGTATTGTTAATAGTGGTTTTATGAGTACACTGATAAAGATTTCCCTACCAAAAAATAAAAAAATAAAAAAATCAAACCTTCTTGAGATTTCTGTTGACATAAAGGAAGCCTTGTTAAGATTTCACTGAAAATATAATACTCAAATGAGATGTCAGTGAAAAATAAAAGTTTGCTCAGATTTATAAAAATAAACGATGGCAAACTAATTTTCTGAATTAATTCCCTACAGGATCAAAACACACCACAGGCTTTGTGCTAGCACTATACAGTGCTCATTTCTTGGTAAAAACTTTGCTGTTTTTATTTCACTTCCATTTTTTTCTTTCTGCTTTGTTGAACTTGTTCTGGTTAGGGCTGAGCACGTCATGGTGGATGACCAAGAGTTTGGGGGCATGAGGAACAATCGCTTGCAAAGTATACTGCCCTCAATTTAAAGTATTGGCTGGTGGGGACGCAGTCTCTGCAGGGAGTAAGGAGGACAGACAGCATTTTCACTGATGGATGCTACTGCTTGGAGCCTGAGAATGGGAAGTTCCTGCTTAATGCAACAATGTGCAATAAAAGGAAATACTGGCTGTACACCTCCCCAGGCAACACCAAAAACTTAAGAGTTCACACAGTGATGCTTAGCCTGCTCTGCAGTGTAGTCATGCCCAGAGGGCTCTCAGGACAGTGGCCACCTATCTGCAGAGCCCTTCTGTCTGGTAATACTTCTGAAGCAAGGCACTCCTGACTGCCCCCTGACTAACAGTCACGGTTTTTATCTCCACAGTCTCTTGCAGTGCTGTGCATGAGTTCAGAGAAAGACTTGGTTAATGTCATTCATGTATGGTGCTGGGTTGGCGGTTTTTAGATCTGTAGAATTCCTCTTTGTCTCTTTTCAGAGAGCAAGAACATGTAAGAGCTTACAACAGGGTCATCTGTAAGTATAAGAACCGGATCCTGAACATGGCTTGCTGGAAAATGACACCTCATTTAGCTGCCAGGCTTGTTAACTCCAAGAGTCTGCAGATACAAGAGGCAGAATTCAACAGCTCTCCAGTGCTTGAATGGTGACATCTGGCGGGCATGACCTTTGAGCAGCAAACAGGTCACAGGTGGTCACAACACGGCATGCAGAAGTATAGAGAGGTGCCCACAACACCACCAACACATTCTGGAGCTCATCCATGCTCACAATCTGTTCCTACGGTATAAGTCACCACGACATAAAGTAACTTCTGAGTGCAAGGGGTTATATCTTCTGGAGTAGCTCTTAAATTAATTCTCTAGAAGCAAATCTTTTTACTTGAGTGCATCTGGGTTCATACCACCCTAGAGACTGCTCTAACAGGAGCTGGGCACATGAGAAGGAAGCTGCTACAAAGAACTACTTGTCGCATAGCTCTTTACTTGGCGTAAATGAGCACAACTGAAGCCAGCAGAGCTGTGCTGATTTAAATCAGCTATATAATTCAGCATGAGGAAAATTCAATGGCAGTAAAGAGTCTTACTATTGCTTAATTTAGCATGCCTTTCTCAATAATAGTGCTGATAGCAAAGCAATATTGATGAAGGATAACTTACCAGGGGCTCTTTGTACTCCCATGACAAATGCAGAAAATTGGAAGATGAAAATGGATGTGAAGAAAAGCTTTTATTTGCTCGTGACAGTTAACTGTTAGCAAAGGGCGAGAAAAAAAATGACCTCCTTTCCTTATGCTGCTGCACAATGAGCAAAAAATATCTGTAAGCTCAGCAGCTCACCTTCTCTGAACTGTCAACCCAGATACTGTCAGCCAGACTTAAGAGTCTACAGAAAACTATCTTTCTCCTAACAGGATTTATAAAATGGGATTAACACAGTTTTATCCATCAGTGAATGAGCTGAAGGGATAT